CCGTTTCCGGCCCGGTTGATCCGACCGAACCGGCCCATTCGGCTCTCCACCCGGTTCCGATCCGGTTCCCCACCCGTTTTTGGTCCGGCTTGTCCGTCCGATTGGGTCCATCCGGCTCCCATCCGGTTGATACGGTTCAACACCCGGTTCCGGATCCGGGTTCCGACCCGACCGACCCGGATGGTCCGGTTCCCCACCCTAGACCCGGTCGATCCGGTTCCCTTCCCGGATGATCCGGTTCCCCGTCCGGATGGTCCGGTTGATCCGGTTCCCGACCCGGTACCCCACCCGGTTCCCCACCCGGATGGTCCGGTTGGTCCGACTCCCCGCACGGTCGATTTGGCACCCCACCCGGACCACCCGGATGATCCGGTTCCCCGTCCGGATGGTCCGGTTGATCCGGTTCCCCGACCCGGTACCCCACCCGGTTCCCCACCCGGATGGTCCGGTTCCCCACCCTAGACCCGGTTGATCCGGTTCCCGACCCGGATGATCCGGTTCCCCGTCCGGATCACTACCCGTTTGGTCCGGTTTCCCACCCGGTACCGCACCCGGTTGGTCCGGTTGGTCCGCTTCCCCACCCGGACCACCCGGATGATCCGGTTCCCCGTCCGGATGGTTGACCCGGCTCCCGACCCGGAACCGCACCGGGTTCCCCACCCGGTTGGTCCGATTTCCCATCCGGTCGATTCGGCTCCCCACCCGCACGGTCCGATTGGTCCGGTTCCCCAACCGGATGGTCGGGTTGATCCGGTTCCCGACCCGGTTCCCCACCCGGATGGTCCGGTTGGTCCGGTTCCCCACCCGGATGACCCGGTCGATCCGGATCCCCACCCGGATGACCCGGATGGTCCGGTTCCCCGCCCGGTACCCTACCCGGCTGGTCCGTTTCCCCACCCGGTTCCCCATCGGGCTTGCCCGGCTGATCCGGTTCCCCACCCGGATCACCCGGTCGATCCAATTCCCCATACGGATGACCCGGATGATCCGGCTTCCCGTCCGGTTCCCTGTCCGGTTGGTCCGGTTCCCCACCCGGTACCCCGTCCGGATGGTCCGGTTGATCCGGTTCTCCACCCGGATGACCCGGATGATCCGGTTCCCCATCCGGATGACCCGGATGATCCGGTTCCCAGTCCGGTTCCTGACCCGGTACCCCACCCGGATGGTCCGGTCGGTCCGGTTGGTCCGGTTCCCCACCCGGTCGATCCGGTTCCCCACCCGGATGACCCGGTCGATCCGGTTCCCCACCCGGATGACCCGGTTGATCCGGCTCCCCACCCGGATGGTCCGGTCGGTCCGGTTCCCGACCCGGCACCCCACCCGGATGGTCCGGTTGGGTCCGGTCCCCCACGGGGATGGTACGGTTGAGTCCGGTTCCCCACCCGGATGGTCCGGTCGATCCGGTTCCCGACCCGGATGACCCGGATGATCCGGTTCCCCATCCGGATGGTCCGGTCGATCCGGTTCCCGACCCGGATGACCCGGATGATCCGGTTCCCCATCCGGATGGTCCGGTCGACCCGGTTCCCCACCCGGATGATCCGGTTGGTCCGGTTCCCGACCCGGATGACCCGGTTTCCCATCCGGATGGTCCGGTCGATCCGGTTCCCCACCCGGATGACCCGGACGATCCGGTTCCCCACCCGGATGACCCGGATGATCCGATTTGGCCTCGCATTTCGGCTCCGCGACCCCTAGAATCCCTAGAATTTTGCCGAAAAAAACGCATGGGTTCCCCTGCCTTATGTCCTTATGTCCTTAGTTCCGTCTTCGTCGAGTCAGTCGTCGTCCGTCTCTCCCTTTCTCGCCTCGTTTCCCTCACTTAAAGCTATGTCAAAGCTAAGTTTATGTTATATCCTACTTGCTGTAGTTAATGTAGATATTGTTATAAACTGTTGGTGGTGCACCCTTTGCTTCTTGCCTATATGTACTCCAAACCCTATAGTGCAACACCTCTTTTGGCCAATTCCCTCCTGCTCGTGCCGCTCGTAACTCCTCCTATGGCTAAACCTAATCTTCTAGGTTAGTAGCTATGTTTGACAGTCAAACGTTATAGTCTTAGTGATGTGTGTCATATGGGGTACAATAGTTAGGCTTAGGTTTATGTACCCCCCCAACCAACCTTAGTCAAACCATCCTTCTGTTCTTGACATGGTTTACCACCTGCAGCAAGTGAGATACACTACAATCTACACTGCAGACAGTTATGAAGAATATATATACATATATTGTATTGTAAAGTCTTCGTACACACACAGTCCTCCCATGGTCCTCATATGCACAGCCATGGTCCTCATATGCAGAGCCATGGTCATTGTGATGTTGAGTGCAGTCACAGTGGAGAGTAGCGTGGCGTGGCACCAAGCGCGTCCGCTGCTTTTAGCATGAGCATACTCACTGTCTTGGCACGAGCATACTCTCTGTCTGCTGTTCCATCTCATTGACTCGAGGGCTGCCGCTGATGTGGCGGCACAGACTAGAAGGGTGCTTGCTTTGCTTGATTACAAGCTTCCACGTGGTCTCCAAACGTTCCAGAACTCAGAGAAGGCTAGAAACCCAGCTAGCGAAATCTTGAAAAACCACTTGCTTGCAGATGATGCAGGGAGCTGGTTGCCTGTTACAACAAAAAGAATGCTGTCAGGATAAGCAATGAATAATGTCTCTTCTAATGAGAACAAAAGGCATTGCAAGCAGTTGCTCGCACCTGGTTGATGGCATATGAAGGCAGCAAATGCACCAAGAGAGCAGTGAGTAGTCCAAGCAACAGCCATCCAAACCTGGGACAGGGGGAAGCAGATGAGAGCACATAGCGATGACAGAGAGCAGCAAAGGAAGAGTGGAGAGAGGCTGAATTGGCAAACCTGCCTGATTTCTGCAAGCTGACAACTGAGATACAAGCGAACAACACATACTTTTGAAACGCCCAAGATGGTACAAGTTGCAAGAAGCATGCTGCTCTATCAGTTTGCAGAACCCACCCGCAGGAGCCAAACGACTTCATCAGACAAGAGATCACTCGATCCCTTCCCCACAGCCAGTGCCGTTACAGCGAGCATGCCAGCTGAGATCACTGCTTGACTTGGCGTCAGATCCAAGGGAAGACCGGTAGAGGTAGGTGGAAATCCAGTTGCTCTATCCTCAGCTGCTTTGCCATCCACATCACTCCCAAACCTCGCAGACGCTGAGCCACTGATGCCGTTGCTTTCCGGATCCAGCTCTCTCATTTAATTGTCGGCTTGCCTGCTCCCCTCCCCATTCATATCTTCAGATTCCGCCCCACCACCCAACCCTTCAGCTTTCCGAGCCTGAGACTGAGCAATGGTCCGCGCCTTGGCTCGGGCCCGAGCCTGAGCCAGCAAGGCTTCGGGGGGTGTGCAGGAAGAGAAGGCAAGGTCGAATTCCCTGCGACCAGCCATCAGGTCCTCCCTACCTGATGATTAGCATGGGGGATTTTTGGTGAAGCTTTAAAACCGGGGTGCACATTCAGCTGAATGTGCATCAAAGGTTATCCCTTGACTGAGTGGGTTACGAGGTGTGCTTTCAACCCCTTCAAGTCGAAATTCGTTTCCCCCCTCCCCCGCAATTTCGTTTCCCCACGCCCCCGCAATTTCATTTCCCCCTCCCCGTCGAAATTCGTTTCCCCCCTCCCCCGCAATTTTGTTTCCCCCCTCCCCCGCAATTTCGTTTCCCCCCCCTCCCGCCAATCTGTTTCATCCCTCCCGCCATTCGGTTTCACCCACTCCCGCCATTTCACCCCCTCCCGCCACCTACGAAATGCCCGAAGCTCTAGCGGAATCATTTTTTTGTCGCCCCTCGTGAGCCAATCACTGTTTTTCTCCAAACCCCCTTCCCAACATCTCAAGCCGAACCGCGTTGAATGTGCACCCTGGTTTTAAAGTGACACTATCATCAGCCATCTGTGAGATTTGAACCAGTGTCACTTGCCAGCAAGTCACCTTTGAGATTAACATCATGTGTCAGTCAGTCATATCGCTTACCTGTCAGGTTTACAAATCCAGAGCCAGCAGCCTTGTCTTTAGGAGGAGGCGGGCCAAATCCTCGTTTCTTGTCATCCCTTGTCGCCATACCTGCAGCCATTTTTTTTTCCCCGAAATTAATGTCCATCCAGGCTACACCTTCCTTTCAATGCTAATGCACTTGCATTGTAAAAAAACCGACAAAGCTTACTAAGTTGAAACCGACAAGGCGTCCTACGATCCCAACAATCAGAAGACGGACTTTGTCCATGCTATCGCCTCCTCCCCCCGCTCCCCCTCCGCCTCCGCCTGATCCGCCAACAGCAGCGCACAGCTCCCTCCGCCGGCCGCTCCGCTGCGGTGCGCCGTTCGCCACCGACCTTCTTCTGCCAACGCTACTGTTCCGCGCATCGCTCCGACCGCAGCTGCGGGTGCTGCTGGTGGAGAGCGGGCCCTGATTTACTCCATTGCAGCTGGAAGTGCACGGTGACCGCTCGGTCAGTCGGAATTGAGGGACTAAGATCGCGTTTGCTGCTACAGCTGAGGCCGTCATGGGATGTATGCGCGATGGCCGATTGGTTGAATCGGGTTCGCTACGTAAGAGCGTCCAATCCCGAGGCTAAGACGTCACGCGGATTCGGTTCGGACATAAAACACATGCAACATAAGTACGGACGGACGGCTGAGATTGGGGAAAAACATAATTTACCACCTCTTGAGATTTCTCTTGATGTATTCCGTGAGGTGACAGGTGACGTGTGTCGATTGCAGGCCTCCAGTCGCAAAGTCCGGTTGGAAAGGTTGGGAGAGAGTTGTAAGCGGTGCCGAGACAACATTAGATCATTTGCACCAGAAATCAACATACTCGCGTATACATGGTAAAGATGGGGAATTGTAAAAGCTCAGCTTTGAAAAATAACTGTACAATCAACACAATGACATGGTTAGCCATGAAAAATCCTACTAGGTATGTTCCATACACTCAGCTAACCTGATTCCAAGCCTAACCCACACACTGATGTGTCACAACCGCAGGGAGAGGTCAAGAGCCTTGGCCTTCCAAGCATCCCGGCCTGACTCCGCTGCGATAAAACCCGACACTCGATCGCTGCTGGGATCAGCAGCGGAATGGCCACAGCCGCCACCACTGAGGGGAGTTGGCGCATCCCAAGGCGTGTCCTGGGCAAAGCTCTGAAGGGTTTGGTCCGTGGCACTTGGAGGTGCTGCTGCTGCTATTGCTAAGGAGGGAAATGCTAAGGCCGGTGCTGCCCTGTCATGGTTTGTGTTGTCCGTCGAGGTACGGTGAGAAGGTGCACTGTCACGCAGCATACTCTGCTGTGGTTGTGGGTGATAACTGTTGTCTGCTTGTGATTTAATTGACTGCTGCTGGTGCTGATGCTGTTGCTGTTGCTGCTGGTGCTGTTGCTGCTGATGCTGTTGCTGCTGATGCTGTTGCTGCTGTTGTAGTACCTGTTGCTGCTCCTGTTGTTGCTGCTGCTGTTGTTGCTGCTCATGTAATACCACTTGTGGGTGTGGTTGCTGCTGCAGCATCTGCTGCTGCTGTTGCTGCTGCTGCTGCTGCTGCTGCTGCTGCTGCTGCTGCTGCTGCTGCTGCTGCTGCTGCTGCTGCTGCTGCTGCTGCTGCTGCTGCTGCTGCTGCTGCTGCTGCTGCGCGGCCGATGCTTGTTGCAGCAGGTGCATGCGAGCAGCAGCAGCAGCAGCCATGGCGGCAGCAGCGGAGTCACTTTGCAGCCGCCGAAGCAGCGCGGACGCACTATCCGCAGCATCCAGCGCGGAAGGGGGAGCGCAGGGCGGGTTGAGCAGGGACGACAGGTTCGGGGAGAGCGCGAGGAACGCGCGGAGAGCAGGCGACGCGCAGCCCGACGCCGCGTACGACGCCAGCAGCTCGGAAGCCGAAGCGCCTGCTGGCTGGCTGACTGCTCCTGCCGGTGTAAACACGCTTCCCCCTGGTGCTGACGGACCGCCTCTTGCTGCTGCTAACGCTGACGCCAGCGCGGTATTTAAGCCTCCGTGCACCGACGAATCCCCGCCGTTCGCACTCTCGCATCTCGCCAGATGCGCACCGCCTTTACTACTGCTGGCCTTGGATTGGTCCTCCCTTGCCCAGACCTCCCGCTCCTCCTTCACGCTCCCCGCCCACCCCGCCGGATCCCGCGGCGGGTTACGAGGCGCTCCCGCCGCGCCGGAAAGGCTGGTGCCGCTCGACGCGGGAAGCGCGACGGGGCGAGCCACCCTCCGCCTCCTGATCACGCCGCTGTCGCCGCCGCCGCTGATCATGCTTCCGCTAACAGCGGCGCTGACGCTGTTGGTCCTTCCGCTGGTGGTGGAGGACGGCGCGAGGCGGCGCTTCTTGCGGCACGGCACGGAGAAGTAGATGCACATCCAGGAGCAGCACGGCGGGGGGAGGTCCAGCGACAGGTCTCCGCGCGCCGATTTCTGAATGTCCTGCACGAGATTCGCGGAGGAGAACTTGCTTGGGACGGGTGTCGCCGGGTTGAATCGGCCAGATCGCGTAATAGCGGGGTGGCTACTATCGCGGATATTGGCGGTGCAGGCCGTGCTGCTGCTCAGACTGGGTAGCAGCTGATGCGACGGGCTCTCGCATCGAGGCCTTTTCGCGGGTGCGTCGTCTCCCCGAGGCTTTTCGCCGAACGAGCCGGTCGGTCGGCGAAGGGCGGTAACGGGTCTGTGCAGATCGTTGGTGAGCGAAGAGCCTGGCAGAGGGCTCTTGGCGGTCCCCGCTGTCGCTGGCGGCGGCATCATCACGTTGGCCCACTCCGCTACCGACGCCACTAATGAGGACGCCAATAACGGGGATCGGCCCGCTGACGACGGCTTCTGCTGCGGCGAGGGGAGGCGCGGTCGGGGTGCTACGGATACGATTGAGTGATCGACACACGACCTGGTCGTTGGCTCAGTGCAATGATGGCTCCCATGGCGAGTCAGAGGAACCGCTCCGGCGGTACAAGTGGGTGGGAAAGGGGGAGCCGACTCGGATGCAGCGATCGTTGCCGGAAAAGGCCTGTCAGCAGAAGGTTCTGCGCGGGGTCGAAAGAAATCAACCTCCTGGATGCACGACCGGTCTACCTGCTGCTGCTGCTGCTGCTGCTGTCGCTGCTGCTGCTGCTGCTGCTGCTGTGATGAGGGAAACTCGTTGAGTGTCGCATTGGACGATGGAGGAATCGTTGAGAGAGATAGCGGAAGCGCGTGATTCCCATCGCTTGACTGCATCGACGCGTTGACGAGGGAGGAGGATCCAATGGATTTCGACGGGTGCAAAGCTGGTAAAAAGAACGACGGCGGATGGCTGGCAGGAAAACAGAAAGTGGTATCTGAAGCTCCACACATCTCTGTTACTGACGAAGCACAGGTTACTGATGCACAAGGGAACTGTTAGGTAAGCAATTGAGGCTGTAATGGATGCAGACGCAAACTAGGACAAACTAGGAGTGAAGGGAAACTAGGACTATCGGTACAGTCTCGTTTGTTGGACCGCTTCCGGTTGGCGGAGTCATACAGTTCACGGATGATGCCACGCGCGCGGGCGGGCGCGGGCAGCGGAGCGGAAGCAGGAGTGAGATTGAGGGCGAGTCATGCGCGGACCGTTGGATCCAAACAGCGTGTTCCGGCGAGCTGTATGATTCCAGTCAGGCGTGCAGTCGGTGAAATCGAGGACAGGTGGATGGAGGGGGAAAATCGAGGCGACCACAACTCCGGCAGGCAGCATCCCTGCCTGCCAGCTACAGTACAGTACCTGGCATCCAGCTTGCTGTGCGCACGCTTGTGACGGGTGCGCTGGCGTCTGGACTCTGGAGAAGGGAGTTGTACAGTAGGGGGAAAGGTGGGTGCGCGCAAACATCCAAGGAAGGGGGAAAGGGTGGTGGAATTACCGGGAGCCGCGGAAGAAATTGCGGAAGGAAATCTCGAGGAGAGGGAGGTGGAGATTGGGTGAGAAGATTCGGCCAAGAGTGATGCCCCTTCTTTCCTGACCTTCTGCTCCAAGGCGTACAGCACGCCTGGATTGGTTGGCTGGCACAAAGCCAAACTGCAGATTGGATATTCGTTGCAATGGGAGAGGCGACAAATACAGCAAGAAGGCTATTGTTGACGCAGTTGAAGCACGCCGATGAGGGCAGCACAAAGCGACGAAAATTTGACAATACCAGTCCCATGAAAGAATCTTCGATTGGATGTTGGTCACAGCGTGACAGGCAGCGTCGGTGCTGCTGACGTCGTCAGATCCGACTGGCAATATAGGATCATTGGCAAAACTTCCTTTGGCAAACCAGACTCCCTCAGGTACTGTGAAATGCGTTCCCTCTGAGCCTACCCAAGCCGACACTGTGTAGCTAAGCGTGACCTCGCAACATTGAAGGTTCGGACATTGAAATTCCAGGACTGCCTAGGCAACGGGTCACGGGATCGAACAATCTTCGACGAACAAGACCGAGAATGAAATCGCCAAATCCGGAGGTAATTCGATGAAAGAAGCAGAAGCAGCGTGCATGCATGCACATGCCTCGAAGATGCTTCATGGAGCAATGCACTGCACCCAGATTGAAGAACGTCGGTTTCACAAGATATCAACCAACAAATCACGAGGATATCGTATCGTGTATGATCCTTGGCCACAGGTTCTTCGGTTTGTGGACAATCCTATCTTCAATATCATATCAAATGGCTGGTCCCGCGTGCGTCGGGGCGGGGTTGAAAGAGGGGCATTTATCTTAGCGGTAACACTCATGGAGCTCGAACGCACGCGAGGTAAGCCACGTTTCCAAATCGTAACAGAGATGTCTTCTCATCGCCACCATGGTAACCAGCATTGCCGAGATGGTCAACATTATTGCCTGAATGGTAATGAACAGTGCATCCGGAAATCCTGGCTGGTAACTTCGCGTTCCAACCAAACTATACACCGTACAAGTCAGGTTTGACTCAGCAAAACGAAACTGACTGTCCACGTATACACCCACAGAATGCGCAATTCTGTTTATAATACCAGCGCTTACAAACGCAAAACGTTACATGCACGTATTCGATATAATTTCCTATCACTATTACAGCAAGCATCTTACGAACACTCTGGAGAAACAAATGTAGCTTGACTATTAAAAAACTGGGATTAAATTATCTGTTAATACAGTCCATATCATGTCTTGAATGAATTATTTATTATATCAATAGAATGTTTTAATTCTTATGCAATCATTATTGTCTGTCATATGCAAAATTAGTATTGTTCAAATTGATATTGAAATTATTGTAACTTGGTCTAGCTCCATTTCTTTATAGTCGGAAATATAATTATGAAAGGGTAAAATAAATTGTTTCAAATAATTTATCACTAGGATAGCTTTGCGGTTTGACATTGTGTGAGTGTTTTTTTGTGTGTCATTTGTTTGATAGTGTTACAATCCCAAAAGGGACTTAGCGAAGGATCGTTCAGGGTTGATCGCAGAGTAGTGTTGCAGCGGAAGTTTGAATCTCAGGTCAGAGTGAATGTAAATGACTGAGTTGATAATAGCATGCATACATCGAGTTTATATAAGAATACATGGAATACGAAAAGACCTAGACTAGCCATGTACTCTAAGGGGTGCATTCCCTTATTACAACCGAATTCAAACCGTGCGGCGCGGGAACCCGTTTCAAACCTGTTCCCGCACTTTTCACTTCAAATGTTTCTGCCAGCATCGGTCTTGGTCAGACGGTTGCTGCGTCGCTTCGACTCTTCTGACTCCTCGACTTCGTACTCGGTAGAGTCGGCTCCTGCAGCATACAGGAATGCCTTCTCATAAAACTTTATATCGTAACACTCCCCTTCATTCCTGGACGCGGGTGGAGCTGACTCGCTTGACTACTCCGGTGAGGTCAGAGCAGTGTTTGTACTGCTGACGTGGCAGACGCTTGGTGAGAAAGTCTGCTGCCATCTCAGTGGTCGGGCAGTAGGCGAGGTCAACTTTGCCTTGGTCGATTTCGTCCTTGACGAAAAAGTACCGAAGCGCGATGTGCTTCGTGCGGTTCACGAAACCTGGCTTGTTCGCGATCCTCGTGGCACTCTGGTTGTCGCAGTGAAGGCGAAAGGTGGGCGAAGTTGGAATTTTCGCCTCCTGTAGCAGCTCCTGCAGGTACAGGCCTTCGCGAACTGCTGCTGTTGCGGCGATGTATTCTGCTTCCGCCGATGACAGGGCAACCAGTTCCTGCTTCTGCGAGTTCCAGGAGATTGGCCCAGTTGGTTCCAAGCGAAAAACGAAGCCGGTTCGGGACCGTCGATTTGCAGGGTCAGCTGCATGATCTGCGTCCACGTAGCCGTTGAGGTTGAAGGAGGTGGTCGTCAGCGTGGAGTAGGAGAGCCCAATGTCAGGAGTAGAGATGAAGTACTGCAGGGCGCGCTCCAGGTCCAGCTGGTTCTCTGCTACTGGCTTGCGGGAGTACTGCGCCAGTTGGCTGGCGATGTACGAAAGGTCGGGTCGGCAGGTGACAGAGGCGAATAGCAGGCACCCCAATTTCCGCTGGTACATTTGGAGTCCTGCGGGCGACAGTGGTTTGTTGTCCGGTTTGTAGTTGGTGCTGGGGCTGCGGTAGGGAGTTGAGAGTGGTGCGGGTGAGATGTTGAAGCGTTCCCCCAGCTGTTCTGCGTACTTTGAGGCTGACAGATGAATTGCTTCTGGCGCGTAAGTGATGTTTAACCCCAAAAACTGCTTCACTTCGAGGTTGATGGTAATGTCTACGCGTTGCGCCAGGTTCTCCTGAAACTGATCGAGGAGCTTGTTGCAGGTGCCCGTGTACAGCAGGTTGTCGACGTAGACTGTCAGGAGGATGTAATCGCCGCTGAAGTGAAGGCGATACATTCCCGGGTCGTGCGGGAGCTGTTTGAAGCCGATTTGCAGGAGGATCTTGTGCAGATGCTGCTGCCAGAGGCGAGGCGCCTGCTTGATCCCGTAGAGGGACTTCTTCAGTTGACAGACCCTGGGATCACCCTCTCCGTAGGTGTGTGGCTGCTCCACAAAGATGGTGGCGTCCACCAACGCGTACAAAAACGCATTCTTCACGTCGATCTGTCGCAGTGGCAGGTGCTTCGCGGCGGCAATAGCGAGTAGAATCCGGACTGAAGTGTGGCGGCTGACGGGAGCGAAGGTTTGATCGAAGTCGATGCCGTGGCGCTGATCGTACCCGCGTACGACCCAGCGTGCCTTGAAACGCTCGATAGTGCCGTCGGCGTTAGTTTTTAGGCGAAAAACCCGCTTCCCGCTGAGCACCCTCCTCCCCTTCACTGCTGCACGATCGACTAGGACCCAGGTGTCGCGAGATTCCAGCGCCTTGAGCTCCGCATCCATCGCGGCACGCCACTCCTTGGCGTGAGGGCCGGTTAGGGCCTGGCGAGGATTCTTTGGTTCCACGGCCCGTGCAAGAGTAGAGACGGATGTGTGCAGGCCGAGAAGTTGAAGGCCTGACACATTGGTGGTGTCTGTGGTGGTGGGGACTTCCACCACGTCGTCGTCTCCGCTCTCATAGCCGGGTGCCGCAGTGCTTGGCTCTGCTCGGCGCCGTGATGGTCCTGGCGCGGGGTCGTCATCGCTGTCATCGTCGTCGTCGTCGCGCGGGCGAGGTGGGATGCTGGGATGTTCGTCGGTGTCGTCGCGGTCCAGTGCTGCTGCTGCTGCTGCTGCATCTTCCGGAGTCGCGAAGCTGCGACCGTGGTTGACGTAGCCGCGTGCTTCGTTACGGCGTTCGTCCTCGATCCACTGCTTCAGGGTGAGTCGCTCGTATAAAAGGATATCGCGTGCGGGGACAATCTCCTTGCTGTCCATGTCGAGGATGAGCCAACCCTTGTGCTCATTGCTGAGGCCCAAGTGAATACCCCAGCGCGCGCGATGAACGAACTTGCCGATTGTGGCCGAGGTCGGCCGGTATTGCACCATGCACCCCCAAACCCTCAGCATGGAGGGGTCTCCCCTTGAGCCGGTCCACTTCATGTGAGGGGACAGGTTATCCCTGTTGGCGGTGGTGGAGAGGAGGTTGTGCAGGCGCACCGCGTGGCGTAAGGCCAGAACTTCTTTGGCAGGCCGGACTGGTTCATGATGGCGCGGACTTTGGTCATGAGCGTGCGATTGACCCTTTCGGCGACTCCTTGCTGCTGGTGAGCATAGGGGAGAGAAATCTCGTGTTTAATCCCCTTCTCGGTGAGAACACTCTCCAGCTCATTGCTGCGAAATTCCTTTGCCCCATCACTCTGTCAGATCTTCAGTTTCCTCCCCGACTGTCGCTGCGCGTGCGCGAGGAAGATGCGGAACACCTCCGGAGCCTTGGAACGAGCGTCGACGTTGGCGATCCACACGTGGCGTGAGTAGGCATCGATGAAGGTGAGAGTATACTTCTCGCCGTTGATGCCGTCGTGGGTGAGTACGATAAAATCGCTGTAAACTTTCTCCAGCTTTTTGTAGCGGTTGGTACTCGGCTCCAGGGAGGGGTAGGCGCTGTGAGAGAGCGCAGCTATGGGACAGACAGTGCAGGTGGTTGGGTGGGGGGTGGTGTGCTGTAACTCCGTTCCGTCGGGGCGCAGCAGTGCTCCTGGTGGAAAGACTTTGGCGCGGAGGCAGTTGGCGAGGGTCTGGCGCGAGGGGTGTCCCATCCGCTGGTGCCAGAGATCATCTTCGGCGCGGATGCCGGAAGTGCGCTTGTAGCGGGTGTGATGCTCTGCTTCTTCTTCCGCCGTGAGTTGCGGGATCTGGAGTGGGGGTTCTTCCTCTTCTCCTGGTTCTGCTTCGCTGGCCGGCTCCTCTGCTTCTGCTTCTGCCGTTGCCTCCCCTTCAGCAGGTGCCGTTGTGAGATAGAGCGCGAGGAATTCACGGTCGGGGATGATAGTGAGCGGGGTCGTGGTGCCTTCGATGAAGCGAGCAAACGGATCTGGGCGAGAGATTGGACCAAGTGAGTCCCGCAGAGGAGTTGGTGGTATATTCCCCTCCTCAATCTCCGACCAACGATCACGCCATCGATGGGGCGAGGAAGGAGGTGAGCGGGTGCGCGGGGGACGACCAAGTGGAATGGCGATGCGAGGGGATGGTTCTCCACGCTCAGCTTGCATCTCGCGTTCCATCTCTTCTTCTTCTTCCTTTGTGATTGGCGCATCCACGTATTCGTTTCCTCCCCATCCGCCGGTGTTTCCCCATCCTTCCGTGTTGACCGTACCGCTGGCACTGGCTCCCCATGCTCCAGTGGCGGATCCCCAGGTTGCTCCGTCACCTTCTTCTGGTTCGTAATCTTCATCTCCCCATGCGCCACGACGTGCTGTCTCTTCGTCCCATCCAGCCGCGACTCGTTCCTCAAACAATTTCTGTTTCTTTTCCACACTGGCCTTATCTTGTTCTTCCTTGACGCTGAGCTCCTCAGGTGCGTCAGGATCTTTCCAAGCCGGGTCAATTTCGCGGCGGTAGACTTCGCGAGTGTACGGGCGCGGTCGTTCTTCTTCGTCGAGGGTGCGCGCATTGGCTTCGAGGACGAACCGTAGGGTGTCCGAGTAAGGCCTTGGCCTCTCCTCCTGCTCCTGTCCGAATTTCTTGCTCGGCTCACCGAAGATGCGGTGTGATGACACGGCGAGTTCTTCTTCAGTCATGCCTGTTGGTTCTTCCTCAGCGCTTTCCGCCTCCTGGATCGCCGCTTGCTCTCTTTCGACTTGCTCCGTGCGACTCGCGGTGGGCGTATGGCAGGTGGTGCAGAGACCGTTGATGTCGGGGTCGTGCAGATTGATCTCGCGGGGATGAGGACTACGGCGAATCCATGGTCGTCCGTCCGGGTGCTCCATTTGCTTGTGTAGGCAAATTCGAGGGGAACGAGGTCCACGAGCTCGTCGGATGAAGCTTGGCAAGGTGGTACGTCGAAGTCCAGGACATAGATCCCGTTGATCGAGCGGGCTCGTCCGAGATATTTGAATGATTCGGGAGGGGTATCTGGCGGAGCGTATGTGAGAATGAGATCGCGTGTGGCGAGGTCCGTGGTGAGGATGACTCCGCAGTCACGAAGTTGTCCGCGACGTCCGAGAGCAGATTGAAGCGGAGATTCGGAACGTAGAGCACGTCGTTGAATGAGATGTGAGTGTTGCTGTCCCGTGCTTGTAGCACGACGATGCCTTGTGAGTTGGCGCGCAGCTGCTCGTTGTTGGCGACGGTAACGTAAGTTGGGGGGGCGCGGCTCAGATTTGAGACGTAGCGCGTAGATCCCACCATGTGCTGTCCGCAGCAGCTGTCCAGGTACCAGGTGTTGTAGTTGTCGGTGTTGCTCCGGCGCAGAAGTAGCGCCAATCGCGGAGTCACCAGGGTTGCCTTGTAGCGACTGTAGAAGAGAGGGTCTTCGTCCTCCTTCCATCCCACTGGTACGTAGTGTTGATTGTCGTGCGGCGGGCTTTCCCGCAAAGTGATTGGCAGGTTCCAATCCTGCTCGTCTTCGTCATACTGGTAGTAGTAATTTTCAGTGAGGGGGTTATTCCATCCCTCTTCTGGTTCAAGGAGTCTTCCTTGAATCTCGTCTTCCTCGTCAAGTTCATCAGAGCGACGTCGGCGCGTCGTCATGTTCGCGATGATGTTTCTGGGGGCTCCTGATGGAGGTCCTTGAGATCCTTGCTGATGTTGGTGTTGCGCAGGAGGACGAGGTGTCTGTTGCTGAGACTGAGGATGACGAGCATCTTGTCGGCCGACCCAGTTGTTGTGGTGAGTGGAATTTGGGTGGCGATAGTTGGATCGGGACTTGCATCGATCCGTTGAGTGTCCGAAGACCTTGCATATTTTGCAATAATGGCGCCTTGGTTGTCGTCGCTCTTCACGGTTGTCTACGTAGAAGGCGAGGCGCTCTTGGCGCGGCGCGGAGCTTGTTCTGCTCGAGTCCATGTCCTGCTGTTCGGACAGGAGTGCAGCGCATAGCGCGGCTTCTGAAATTGTCCCTCGCTGTCGGAGTAACGCCTTACAGGGCTTCCACTCAGGCCCGGGTCCTTGGAGGACTATATTGACGAAGATCTCTTCCGAGTGCTTCGTGATCTGGTCACGGATGTTACGACAGCGGTTGATATAAGGATTCGCTTTCTCCCCGTGCCCCATTTTTATCTCCAAGAGTTGCTGCAGAAGCCTGCTGGCGGTGACCGAATCCTTCGGCTGATAAACTTCAACGAGATGCTTCCAAGCTTCCAAGGCTGGAGCGTCGCTCTCTTTGTAGGAGCGGATGTTGAGTTGTTCCGCAGGCGTCATGTTGCGTAGCAGCACACTGTAGGCCATGAGGGACTCACTGTAGTATTGAGCCCTGGCGACTTCGGTGTTTTCCACCGGTTTAGGATAGGAGCCGTCGAAGTAATGGTAGATCTGCGCCGTTTGTAGGAGGAGCTCAAGCTCGAAACTCCATGTGTAGAAGTCCTTGCCGTCAAACGCGGCAGTAGTTTTGATTTTTGAAACGCTAAGAAAGCGAGTTTGCGCAGAGTTGATAGCTTCATCACTTGGACGGGGGGCAGTTGTTGTTGATTTGTCTGTGTCGAGGGAGAAGGTATGCGCGGCGGTATCGCGGCTTTTCTCAGCCGGTTGTCCAGGTTGTGCTGGTTGGGAAGAGGTTCCCGCATCGCCTTTGCGCAGGTCTTGGAGTTCTTTCTCCATAGTTGAAAGTCGAGCGAAGAGTTGCTCGAGGGCGGCAGTGCCAATCGTGGTTATCGCCTCATTTGTCGCAGCCGGATTGGATTGTCCTTCATCCGTCAGATTTGCTTGGCCTCCGGATCCTCCGGCCATCTTGGTCTTGGAGCGTGTGCCGCTCGCCAGATCTTGGTTCGGCGAATTTCACGGAAGTGAAGTTGCGAAGAATCCATGAGTTGCTCTCATACCATGTTACAATCCCAAAAGGGACTTAGCGAAGGATCGTTCAGGGTTGATCGCAGAGTAGTGTTGCAGCGGAAGTTTGAATCTCAGGTCAGAGTGAATGTAAATGACTGAGTTGATAATAGCATGCATACATCGAGTTTATATAAGAATACAGGGAATACGAAAAGACCTAGACTAGCCATGTACTCTAAGGGGTACATTCCCTTATTACAACCGAATTCAAACCGTGCGGCGCGGGAACCCGTTTCAAACCTGTTCCCGCACTTTTCACTTCAAATGTTTCTGCCAGCATCGGTCTTGGTCAGACGGTTGCTGCGTCGCTTCGACTCTTCTGACTCCTCGACTTCGTACTCGGTAGAGTCGGCTCCTGCAGCATACAGGAATGCCTTCTCATAAAACTTCATATCGTAACAGATAGTTAAGGCTATATGATTGTATGTTTTTTTTTTTTTTTTTTTTTACGGATTACAAGTTTGCATTTCATGGTTTTACTGTCTGGGATTGTAAACGCCGGTATTATAAACAGAATTGCGCATTCTGTGGGTGTATGCGTGGACAGTCAGTTTCGTTTTGCTGAGTCGAACCTGACTTGTACGGTGTACAGTTTGGTTGGAACGCGAAGTTACCAGCCAGGATTTCCGGATGCACTGTGCATTACCATTCAGGCAATAATGTTGACCATCTCGGCAATGCTGGTTACCATGGTGGCGATGAGAAGACATCTCTGTTACGATTTGGAAACGTGGCTTACCTCGCGTGCGTTCGAGCTCCATGAGTGTTACCGCTAAGATAAATGCCCTTGAAAGAGAGAAGTGCGATACACCGAGTCCGCGCCAACTTCACTAGGGCCAATTTCAACCCCCCTTTGGGGTAGTTACGTGGGTCAGTGAGGTTGGGTGTTGGACAGGGGCGTCCCCTACACACTCCCCTGAAATGTTACGGCCAATTTCACACCCCCCCCCCCCCCCCCCCCCCCCCCCCCCCACTACAGACAAGATTGACCCCCTCGAGGGGGGCGTTAATTTGCCGAGGATTCGGTGTACCAAGCAGATACACCAATCACCGCAATACGGTTGTGCTGAAGATTCCCTATCGGTTCTATAATAGCATATCCATACAGAATGTCAATGTTCCTTCTTTAATTTCCTACTTTCTTTCTCGTCAATTCCGGACATGGAAAACCTGCTGCGTAGCTGAGAGGCAACATCTTCCATCTTCACACCCTGAAATTTCACAATGACGGTATGAGCCTGAAGTCCCGACAAAAAACATATAATTACATTAAAAGGTTCACGTACCGTGATGGCTAGCAGAACCATAGAATGGTAAAGAACGTCTGCCATCTCAGATGCTGCTCTTTCTCCTGCCTCATTCCCTTCCAAGGTCTGGCACAACTCACCAGCCTCCTCCCTAACAACAAAGAGACCCGTTAATGACATATTGTGCTTCAACTGATTAGCATACACCTAAACGCAAGGAGACATACCTGATTTTGGAGCACAGCAGTGAGTGGTTTGAAAGCAAACGTGCAGTCCACGATGGTTTCGCTCGTGCTTCTCCTGGATTCTGCTGCTCCTGCTGCTGCTGTTCCTGCTCCATCTGCCGTCTACGGGACGCAATGACTTCCTCTAGTTGGAAGAGCGTGCTCTGGGCACAAGCAACATCCTCACTAGAAGCAGACTTGTTCTTAGCTACTGGATTACCGGACAGGTCCAGTTTCGTGAAGAAGCATGTATCAGTGCCCGTATGGCAAGTGGGGCCATCAGGTATACCAAGGTAGATGATCTGCACCAGCAGGGACAGGGGATACAAGGGGCTGTTGGTCCATCGGACGAAATTGGAGACATGAGAGGAAGGCAAAACAGCATGCACAGCAGAATAGAACACAGCCTTAATGATGTTCCACACAGAACGTGAACCTGCCCATACGTCTGTGGTTCCATTGATCCGTGCCTATCGCAATCAGGAAACATGTCCAGCGAGTTATTCGGTCAACCGACAAAGCAACAGGTCCCTATAACAGTCACTACGCATTTCAAGTACATTAGTGAAGTGTCTTCAGAGCAACATGCTTGGTCGTGATTCTAGTTCAGACAGCCATTGGGACGCCGCAACAGCCAGTCCATCAACAGTGACTGCGAGCCACATGCTTGGCCATGATGTACATTCAATTGAGGTATCTTCCAGCACTCACCGTGTCCCTGTCGCAGTCAATAAACATGTCAAGCACATTGATGAAGTGCCCTGAGGTCTCAGCCTTCGAGTCGACTCCCATGTCAGCTCTTCTTCTACTCACCGCGTGCTCACCTCTTCCAGCACTCACCGTGTCCCTGTCGCAGTCAATAAACATGTCAAGCACATTGATGAAGTGCCCTGAGGTCTCGCCCTTGGTCCACAGGCACTGCCGCGAGCGGCTGAAGAACGTGGCGCGGTCCGACGCCAGCGTGGCCGACACCGCATCGCGATTCGCGAATCCCTGCAGGGATGACGTGGCAGCAAAGCAATGAATGCTGTGAGATGCATCCTCCATGTACCCCTGAATGCTCTTACTGGTCAAAATTCAGGAATGATAGGCATGGCGGCCAGCGCTGGTTCTTGAGAGAGTTAATCGATGCACCGAGAAACGACGCACTTCACCTGCGTGCAACCCGCAAGAGAATGTCTCGTATTATGGTGCCTCTCCTCCGAGTAAAATGTTCCACCCACCTGCATGAGGTCCCACCCACCAACAGGAAGACCTGCCCACCTGCATGGGATCCCGCCCACCTGCATGGGATCCCGCCCACCTGCATGAGGATGGCGCCAGTGTCAGCATGTTGAGCGATGGCCACCACAAGCCCCTTGTCGTCCCACTTAATGCTGTCCAGTAGCGCCTCCACCTGCCGCCCAATTGCCACACCATGCCATCCATGCGTCATACCATGTTATCCATGTGTCACACACAGCATGCTTTAATGAGAGTTATATGTCGGCCTGATCGTGGAGCCACCACAGAAGAACAATACGGCATTGTACGCCCAATGAAAATGCTAACCAAATCTAGGGTTCGGATGCTGCAACGTGCGTTTCTCTCTGTGAGCGTCACGCAATGCAGTCCAGACGTTGCTTGCCATGGGTGTGGATTACGCCTGTCAGTCACTGCCCGTACCTCAGGTGTGGAGACAGGTTCGGCACGGTGCAGAGCAGTGGTGGCTTGAGCAATCGTGCATGGCCTCCGACGCGGCAGGGCTGACGGCGTTGCGTGCTGATAATGCGTTGGCACGTACCCGGGGTTGAAGACACGAATGGGATTTGGAATTTGGGAGAATGGGATTTGGAATGTGGGAGAATGGGAATTGAGGATTGGGAAATGGGAGTGGAAGCAATAGGGATGTCCGTTGAATACATGGTGGTTTGATGACATGCGATCATGGTGGTCTGTTGGAAACAAGGCATGATAAATAAACAAAAAAAAGAGCCAACCGAAATGCGAGGAACGGCTGACGGATCCGAAACCGGGTGGAGGTACGACGAAAGGATCCGTGCATCTGGTCTGGAGCAAGAGTCTGCATGCGCGTCCGCTTCGTTTGCCTGGTCACGTTTGCAGCTAGATTGACAAAGTAGTGTCTCTAACCGCATTTGCCAAGTCCTGCCTGTACCACGTTCGTATAGTTGCGTCTGTAACCGCATTTGCACAGTTGTCTGGTACAGTCAGTCTGGTGACCGCAACTTATGTGAGGGACGCGAAACCACGACGCACAGGAGTTAGGACGCCTCGCAGACGCCTGGATGACGCATTATCCATCGCGATCCGAACGCGGCTGCAGGGATGGTGAGCCGCGCACTGCGCTGCTGCGAACTGCGAAGCGCGAACGATGTGTATGCGAGAGAAACGACGAGCGGAGAGCGATGAGTATCAAGAAAAACGAATGTAGGCAGGGTCAAGCGCATATCCGTAGGATATGCATACACCGGAAATTGGATGAAGGCAATGATTCCTGGATTCCTGATGCTCACAGAGATTCTGGCAGACGGGAGGCGAGCCACCGTGGCCATCGTCATGGTCGCAAAGCTCGCAGTGTGTCACCTCGTTGCCAAGACGAGCAGCGGTAATTTCGCCACGCGAAGAGCAGACTGCAAAAAAAACAGCTAACCGCTAGGTCGTAACGTGGCAAGATCCCACTAATGTGCCATGCCAATCGGCAGTGAAGCCTTCACGAAGAAAGAGCTGCTCGTGGGTTTTTCTGAAAGGCTTTTTGGTCGAGTCTGAGGGGCCCAGGCCGAGGTATATTCCCGTCAAAAGGCGACTGCATATTGCGTTGCGAACATTTGGTACAAACACGACTTATGATTGTAATTGAACGCAGTATTACATGTAAATTACTGCCACGGAAGGTGTAGATTGCTGGAGAACAGCATCGGAATTTAAATCGTTGCTTTCCATCTCTACTTGGCATACCTTTGGGAAATCCTCAATTGTTGTGTACGGTCTTCCAAATAGATTCGAAAACTAGGTTTACATGTGCTGGACCTCCTTGTCTAAGCCTTGTTACAGAAGGCAGCAGCACCCCCACTTCACCAACACCAAGGGTACAGCAGCACCTAGAGACGGTAGCCAGCATTTGATGGTGCACATTATCATTACATAACAAAACTAAGAGCAGCTTCTACTACCCATCTGGTACTACCATGCTGTACAAGAACCTGGATCCGCTTGACAAAACTTCCTTACTACTTGTCTAGCATATGTACAAGCCTCTCTGAGAGGTCTGGTTCATGTGCAATACCCTCTCCCCTCTCCACGTCGATCACGAAGCCAGCGCAGTCAAGGGTGGGTGGAGAAAGGGTTTCTCCTCATGCATCCTCACGACCACCACCGGACAGTCACCTGCCATGTAGTCACAACCGTTCACCGCACAGCCAATGCCTGTCAGAAAATGCCGTAGCATAGAAAGTAGCAGCGGAGACGATACAACACAAAGTACAATGGTCAATGATGATACGTGTCCTCAAAACGAAAAAAAAGATAAGATTAGAAAAGGCCACACATTGGTGGACGAAATAGATACAACACGTGGTCACATGTAACAATGAACAAATCACAAAAGGCTCACAATGGTGCACGCAGTAGTCGCTGACGCTGCCCAATCGCGACTTCCTCGCTCGACCGTGCGCTCCAAAGCCCCGGCTGCCCATGATGCACGCACTCACTCCCAAACGCTCCACCTGGCGGAATCACAGGAAGCAAAGAGATAAGGTATTTTCAAGAGCACCTGCTGACTGAGTTGCTCCAAGGTCACTGCCCAATGTGACAAGCGGTCTGGCCTTCTTGAAAACCTGATAGCGGCAGCTGTCGCGATGGGAAGTTGCAGTGCAAAAACATACCTCAACGCATACCAAGCAAGGCATTGCATCGGATGGAGAATGATACGTGGACACGAGAGAGACGGGAGAGCTTGAGGAGGAGGAGATGCATGATGACCAAAGAAATGCAGCCAATTACTTTTTTTTTTACCAATGTGTGAACTGAAGAATTTGCTTCTCAAGAAATGATCCTGCCACGGCTCCTCATGCGGTCCACATCCGCTTCACTACGTGGGGGCATAAAACACTGGTCCACGCCACGTTCTCTGAACAATATTTGTAATTACGATCCACCTGCTGGTGTTGCTTCTCCCTGTCTACTGCTCAGTGCACATTATTGCTCCGCGCAAGTCTGGCATGGATCAGACCCCCAAAAATGGTTTCGACTCATCGCAAGTTGCAAAGCGTGAAACGGAAATGCCGAGCGCACCTCGAGGCAGATGCGTTCCTTCATGTCGTGGTCCTTCACGATGTGCACGCGGAACGGTATTCCCGCCGCCTTCAGCGGCTCCGCCAGCTCGCGCGCCTTGGCCAGCGTCAGCGCGTCGAACTCCTCCTCTGCGCGCTCCTTAATCTCGCGGTCCGCCGCCTTCGCCGCGTCCGTCGCCTCCCACGCGCCCCAGTCCGCGCCGTACAGCAGGCTCGTGGGACGCACGTGCAGGATGATCACCTGGCGATACGCAGAGGGATATTGCCAAACGAGAGGGATTGATACCACGAATGACGCGAGAAGAGCAATCGGGTAAAAGAGCATCACGACCTTGTGGAAAGAAGAAAATCCGAGCTCTGAAGAGCAGCGATGACAGCTACGCTATTTGCTCTTTAGCCAAGCTCGAGTTCAAGAAAGTGGTGGCGAAGCGAAATCAAGCTCAGATTCATAAATTTTCAGACGCCGTAGCGGGTTCTTACATGGTCCACTGGGCGCAGATAATTTTGCACAGCCCATTGTACAGCGTGGGCACTTTCGTCGCTCAAATCGATGGCTATCGCTATCTTGCGAGGTGGGTACTCCATGCTGTGCTGAATACTAAGACCTCTCTACTTTGGTACAGTGAAAGCAATTAGCTTCCCTTCTAATATATACCGCCACCGCTTCAACGTAGGTAATCTTGAGTACTAGCTGCGAGACTTCAAGTAGAATACGAGTTAGATGGTCGCGTCCTGAGTTGTTCACCGCCTGGAATGTCTAGCGAAATTCGATTGAGAGAGATTCTGGTGTGATGGAAAGCAAGAAGAGATGCGAATATGAAACTCTTACTGCTGGGCTGGCAGCAGGAGTGGTTGGGCTTTGCACGAGCAAGAACGCATTCAGAAGGAAGCAGCCGAAGCATGTGCTGGAATGCTCGAAGCGATTCGGCGTGCTGCATGCGTGGCGCTGACGAGGTGGAAGAAGCAGGGTCTTGTGCGCTGATTGGAGAACCAGGGGGCTATGGTTGTTCTTGGGGCGTGCTGGCCTCATGTGCCTCTGCTGTGAATGGAGCAGGCCGCGTTGGTGAGATCGGTACACGTCAGGATGGTGTGAGGTGACTCCCTCCCACATGGACAGCTTTGCTGGAGTGTGCCAGCACTGCCGTGGTGCTATTTCACGTCAGCTGGGCACTTCACAGCAACTGGCGTCAACACCCACACATGTGTTATACATTCGAGCGAGTGTTGTTTTGATGTAATGTTGAACATCGCTTTGACTGATTATCGAAGACGACTTGTGGCGAACCAGTGTGGCTTCTCGCCACGGCACATTTTTTTCGGGACAGAAGCCGAAGCCGAATCAGGTTCGGCAGGTCTGGCCCTGAAGGTCTGGCAGGCATCGCCTCCTAACCTGGAAGCGTTTTTTCGTCAGATTCTGGGCAGCCTGGATTACGGGCGGATACCGTAGGCTCGAGCACACACACTCGACCTAGCAGGCTCTCTGCCCTTAGGGCAAAGAAGCTGGAAGTCCGCACCGCGGGCTTGCGCACCGGTTTTCGGCGGGACCTATCGGCGCCCCGTTCCGAACCAGCTTTACCGCCTGCGACTGGGTCGCTGGTTCAGGTTTGCCTTCGCGAACCAGATCCCTGCCCGCAATAGCTTGAAGCATAACGGAAGTCGGGTGCTAGTTGCAGCGCGTCGCAAGAGACCTTGTTTGGGCAAGGGGTACAAACCACCAATCGCATGAGTTTCGTATTCTGCCCGAGCCTGCACTGCCACCTTCTGCGTCGTCGCTTGCACCGTTGTTTGGCCCCTTCCACCTGTCGCCCCTCCACCCCCTCATCCACTTGGTCTTGCTGCCACTAACCTAACATTCTCCCGCTTTTCCCGCTACATCTAATTTCCCTCCCTCATCCCTCTGCTTCCGCGTCGCCTTGATGCCTGTTCGCCCCACTCCTCCCAGCTTTATGTGCTTGCGGCCTTTCGAGCGTTCTTTCTCAGTTCGTTTCACATTTCCAGGCAGGGGAAGTTAGGCAGCTCTCTCGCTGCTTTAGCGTACCCATTAGCCGACTTATTGACATCCGATAGTTGAGGCATCTTATCCCGTTATCGGCACACTGATTCCAGGACGGCACTAACCAGCTACTAACAAACTAGCTCCCGTCCTCTCGGTTCAAGGGATCGCGCGCGAAGATTGTCGTTCTTGGTCCTGCAAGAACGGACTGTTCCGCGATATAGCATTTTTACTCACTCGTAAATTCGACTTGCGCGTCACGGATTCCGCATCCGCCATGGCAGCGGCCCTGATGGACCGCGCAGTGGACCTCGGCGCGCAAATAGGAATCACCCCGACGACGCTCATCTCGCTAGTATCACCACTTCTCTCCATCCCCTGCTGCTTCCTCCTTCGCGGCATCGCGTCGCCCACGTACCGCCACGCGTGCGCGGCGCTGACGGGTCTCCTGCTCGCGCTGTACGCGTTCGGGCCGACCATCTGGCGCCACTACGCCGTGCTCGTCGCCTTCACGTACACCGCCATGTCGCTGCATCGCCGGCGGTGCGGCATGATCACGCTCGTCGGCACGTTCGTGTACCTCCTCGCCTGGTGAGCTGCGCCCCCCCCCGCTCAAGGACTCAAGGATTTCATTATTTGGGATGGTTAGTCAGTGCTTACGAGCATTCCCACTTGCCCAGCCTTCACCTCACTCGCTCCTTACTAACAAATGCCCAAAATCTCAACCCCTCTCCACGCCACCCCTCCACCCGCCTTCTCCCCCCTTACAGTCACATTATTTATGCGAGCGGCAAAGCCCGAAAGGACCAAGGGATCGACTTCGCCGGGACGCTCATGATGGTGACGTTGAAGCTGACGTCATCGGCGTTCGACTACCAAGACGGCGAGTACCTCGTCAATAAGGACCTTCCGACGCCGCAACGCGGCACGCACCGCCATCTCAAGGAGCTGCCGTCCGCGTTACAGTACTTGGGTTACATCTTCTGCGGCGGGTTACATCTCACGGGCCCGTTCTTCGAGCTCAGACCGTACCTTGACTGGGCGGAAAACCGAGGGGTACGATGCTCCGTGATAACCGGGCCCTATCTGCACTTTCTCCTCTCCTTTCCCCCCCTCCTTTCTCCTCTCCCTTCTCCCCCCTCCGCCTCTTCTTGCTCTATGTTAGGGTGCTCATTGCGTCCCTTCACCTTCCCTGGGACTCTTGCCTTCTCTTCCTCGCTACTCGCTGATGTCCATTTATCTCCGTCGTCCTCCTCTCCGCTCCCTCTCCGTCGCAGGTGTGGTCGCACGACGCTCGCAAGGCACCCTTCGCGATCCCGCTGCTCGTCGCACTCGCATGGGCGACGTCGGCCGGCTTTATTCACCTCGTCCTGAAGCCGCAGCTCAACTTACCTCTGGTCACCGACCCGAAGCGCTTCTACGCGATCCCGTACCTCCACCGGTGGGGCCACGTCATCATCTCAACGTACGCCGTCCGATGCAAGATCTACTACGTTTGGACGGTTGCGGAGGCGAGCATGATCGCATCGGGATTAGGGTTCAGCGGGTGGGTTCCCGCCAAAAGCGCAGGCGCTTCGACGCAAGTGGCGGATAGAAGTAAGAGCAGCGAGTCTGCTGCCGTAGATTCCGCCGTGATTACCGCGACCGCTCGGCAACAAGGAAAATCGATTTTGAGGAAGACTGTGGTTCATAAAAAGGCTTCTCACGGGGTGTTGGGAGATAGTGCGGCTGGGAATGCGGCGAAGACGTACGAGACCGTGAAGCTCGTTGCGAAGAGCCCTCTGCGAAAGAATGGCGTGGTAACCAGTGCAAACGACGAAAATGAAGCACCTGAAATCGGCTCGAAGAAGGTTTTCGCGAGAGGCGGTCTCGCTGTCTCCGCTACGAACGGCTTCCTTACCGCGTGCGAAGAGACCAAGGACGACATTGCTCTGGCGAAGAAGAACGGGGTGGTAACGGAGCAGGCGAAGGTCGCAGATGTCGCAGAGCCGCGGCTGGTGGCGTCGTGGGAGCGCGCGAAGAACATAAACATCGCGGGGGTGGAGCTGGCGAAGGCTTTTAACGCGTACGCCAAGAACTGGAACGTCTCCGTGGGCCTGTGGCTGAGAACATGTGAGTACATGAACGAGTTAATATCGTCCTGTAGTACTTAGTACTGGGTCAAGAGTGGGAGTTCCTAGGGGTCCTCACTCCACCCATTGTAGGAAAACCCATCACTTACACTTCCCCCGGACCCTCTGCCCCTTCTGTTCCCCCGGCCCCCGGCCCCTCCACTCATCCACCTACCTTCATCCTTTCCCCGCCATCTTCTCTCCGCCTCTTCTCCCCCCCCTCCCCCCGCCCCCGCCCCCGTTCCGCGTGCAGACATCTACGAGCGAACGATCCCAGCGGGGCAGAAGCCGGGCGTGCTGTCGCTGCTGCTCACCGTCGGCGTCAGCGCCATCTGGCATGTGAGTGCCACGTGGCATGGAGGGGAAACCTGAGATTGCTTGCGGCGATTTGTATTTACGTCATTCCCTCCCCTTGGGTTTCCCTTGATTCCACCTTTCCCCCACCGCCTTCACATTTCCCCATTCCACGTCCTGCATCGCACCACCACCAACACCACTACCCCCTCCGATTCTTGTCTCCCTCCGTCCCCCCATCTGTGCCTCATCTCATCTCATCTCCTTTTAACCTCCCCCCACATCCCTCCCACCCGTGCGTCCACTGTGGTACCACCAGGGAATCTACATTGGTGATTTCATGTTCGCGTTCAGTGGCGCGTTCCTCATCATGGGCTCGCGAGGTATGTTGTCGTCATGCCACCATGCCTCCATGCCATCATGCCACCATGCCACCATGCCATCATGCCACCATGCCATCATGCCATCATGCCACCATGCCATCATGCCACCATGCCATCATGCCACCATGCCATCATGCCACCATGCCATCTTACCATCATGCCATCATGCCACCATGCCAGCATGCCACCAATCTTCCATCTCCGATCCTCTCATTCTGTCCCATCGTCTCTCACTCCGTTCCTCTCCCATCCTCCCCCATCCCCATCCCTCGCCCCTACTGCCCCCCCTGGCACACCAGTGATCTACCGCTACCAGCGCACCATCCCGGAGTCGCAGTGGCTGTGGGCGACGGTGGTGCAGGCGCTGCACTGCCTCTACTCGTTCGCCGGCCTCAACTACATTGCCATGGGCTTCATTGTAAGACACTCACTTGAATCGCTTGAGTCGCCGTGGGCCTCATTGTGAGCCGCCATGGGGTTCGTTGTGAGGTGCTTGTGTTTAAGACCATTAGTTCACTGCGAGCATACCGGTGTCTGCGCTTTCTTCTTCCTCAAAGGTTTCACAAAAAGGCTCACGATGCTCACCTTTCCCCTTTCTCTCCTCTTGTTCTCCCTTGTTGTTCACAGGTGCTGACAGCAGAGGACACGATCACAGTGTACCGGGGACTCAACTTTGTGGGCAATCTGCTGCCCGTGCTGGTGCTGGGCGGCAACTGGGCACTGCGGAGACTGCACGCGATGCTCTCGCCGCCCTCCTCTGCTGTGAGCAGCAAAAGAATCGCAGCGGAGTTAAAGGCGAAGCAGCCGGAGCAGCAGCAGGTGGTGCAGCCGGTGTTGGTGCATACCAAGGTGGAATGAAGGGGAAGAGACGACTGAGTCGGCTTATAATGAGTACAGCGGCAACCTGCCAAGTGATTGACATGAGTTGAGTTGGCTTTTAAGGGGTACGGTTGCACCAGCCGTGTTGCTCCCGTGGATGGTGGTCTGGACTGGGGAGCCGTGTATGCTCCCCTGAGAAGAACCCAATCCTACGCCCTCTGAAGCTTGAGAGCACCTGACAGAATTCTGCGAATAGTGATTCCATTGTTTGTAGCAAATTTAATGTGGACAAGATGCAGTAGGAACGCCCTGGATGGATTAGGATAAGGTGTAGACCTAGTTTAGAGCCCACTCTAGGAAACCAGGGTGCATGATTTTTGCACCTCGCTCGTTTAGCTGATTTATTGATATTCTTTCTGCTTCAGCATGTCAGCTAAACCTGAAACAAGCAGTTGCTGGGATCATTTGTTGCGGGTACTGTGCTCAATTGCACCAAAAGCCTTGACAAAAGCACCAATATGAATCAAGTGCAACGTTACCGCAGGGGATAACAGCATGTAAACTAATGGTACGGTAAGACCTTGGCTACAGCATTCAGGCCAGGTTGTAGCTGCCATGGCTTTCCTTCTTGCATACTCGGATACTGCCAAAGCCGGTTAGACCTTAAGCCGTAACATTGCCGCATCTGACCTGACGCTCAACAACGGCCCCTCCCCCCTTTTCTACGCTTCTGTTGCCTTGTGCGGCTGCAGTGGCCTGTGAAGCTGCTTCCTGCTCCCCCCCCCTCCTCCTCTCCGTCCTCCTCTCCCTCCTCCTCTCCGTCCTCCTCGCCCTCCTCACTCCCCACCCCCACCTGCCCCTGCTCCGCTTGCTTTTGACTGCGTTTCCGTTTCGCCTCCCTCCGCTCCTCCCTGCTGCCCCAACGATCACCCCCATCATCCCCGTCCCACCTGTCACCTTCCGGAGGCATCCAAAACTCTGCCCCTTCCTCATCTTCCCCATCCTCCTCCCCCTCCTCTTCTTCACCCCCCTCGTCCTCTTCCTCTTCCTCCTCCCCCTCTTCCTCCCCCTCTTCCTCTTCCTCCTCGTCCTCTGTGTCCTCTTCCTCGTCTTCCTGCACTTCCTCCTCCTCTTCAGTTCTTCGTTTCCGTTTCGCCTCTCTCCTCTCCTCCCTGCTACCCCACCGCCCACCCCCATGATCCCCGTCCCACCTATCGCCAACAGGAGGCATCCAGAACTCTGAACCATCCTCTTCCTCCTCCCCCTCCTCCCCCTCCTCCCCCTCCCCCTCATCCCCCTCCCCCTTCTCCCCCTCCACTTCCTCATCCTCCTCATCCCCTTCCTCCTCACTGTCCTCCCCACTGTCATCCTCTGTCTCCCCATCACTGCACTCAGCTTTTTCTTCAGTGATCTTCCTTTTCCCACTCGCTTCCCCCACTTTTTTCTCCTCCCCTACTCTCTCTTCCTCCTCCACTTCCTCCTCCATTTCCTCACCTTCCCCCCCCTCCTCTACCTCCTCCCATTCCTCCCCTTCCTCTACCACCTCCCCCTCCTCTACCTCCTCTCCCTCTTCCACCTCCTCCCCCTCTTCCACCTCCTCCCCCTCCTCTCCCCCCCGGCCTTCCCCCGCACCCCCACCCACGTCCGTCCCCCCAGTCGCGGGCTGGCTTGCTGCGGCCTGCTCTGCCCTTCTGGCCGCTCTCCGCGCTGCCGCCTCCTGCTCCTTCTTGGCTGCGCGCACCACACGACAAGGGGCGCAAGGGGAACAAGGGGAACAAGGGGCGCAAGGGGCGCAAAGGGCGCAAGGGGAACAAGGGGAACAAGGGGAACAAGGGGACAAGGGGACAAGGTGTACATGGGGGATCAAGGGTGGGAGGAAGCTCGAAATTCACATGAGCAACTGACGACACACAGGAAGGAATTGGGATACAAGGAGATAACAAGCATGAGCGATCCAAGAACGGAACGGAACACTCACCGAGGCACTTTTGGAATTTGTCGCCCATCATGTGCTTCCATACAGCGTCCTCCGATTTCTGTATAAGCTTGTTCGTCAGCGTGCAGAGAAGCTTGTTGCTGCGATGCGAGGGACAGGGGACAGGGTTTGAGGTTTCTCTTAGATTCTGCGAGAAGGACAATTGACGATCGTCCTTCTGTCCTTCGTTCGTCCTTCTGTCTTGCAGACGATTGACGAGCACACCCGTTAAAACTTCGTCTGATAGATCAAGCACGTGTGCTACTATTGGAGGGAGTGTGCTTCTATCGAAGGGAGCGTACGATCTCACGGATTATCCGGTGACTGCACGACGTGCGGCTCGAACTTCCGCAGCGCGAGCGACGCGGCCGCCTTGGCAAAGACTTTGCTTGCCACGTGTCGCTTCAGCGATTCGTGGGTTGGAGGGAATTCGTGACCAGTCAGCGAGCAGCGCAAGCGGCCCGTGTCAGTCCACGTCAGATGCTCCTTTTGTGTCGCAAATAGAGCACGAAACGCGGGATCGTCAGGCTCGGCAGAGGTTCGTCCATTCAGGCTCGGATTCTCAACGTCTACGCCCTCTCGCGGCTTCTGCGTCTTTCCCGCTTCCCGCCCTTCACCGTCCGCCTGCGCCATTGGATCGCGGCGGCGGGGTAATCGCGGAGAGATGGTGATAGGAATGGGATTTCAGAGGTTGAAGTGAAGTGACTATGCTCATGGATCGTAGGGAGGTGGGAATGGGAAGGCTGAACTTGAGGGGGACGATCAAAACCTCGTTATGGTCAAACACGACAACACGCACGGTTTTCGGCTTTGAAATGAACAATTTGAGTTGTAGGCCGAATTGGAAGTAGAAGCTATCACGCTGAGAAAATGGTTTCTAAAGCTTAGTGTCGTGTCCATTGGGATTATACTGGCTGAATTTTTTCCTATACAGTACCCTGCTGCTACACACTGTCCTGACAATCTGGGCTGAATCTCCAGGACTGAAATGATTTGCTTCATTGCATACGGTAAGCCTTGCTAAATACATAATTTGACAATCAAAGCAATCCCTACAACCTGTACAAGATACAGACTTTTGTTATCTAGTCCTCATGCTAGCCAAGCATAAACCTATCGGTATGAACCCCACTCCATCAGCATCCAGGTAGAACAGGCTTGGGGGGACTCATCCGCATCAGGCCTCCACCCACCACCACAGGCCTGCCTTATATCCTCCTCCCCAGCTGACCCTTTGGACCAGCTCCCAAGGAAAAGCAGCTGCTGAAAAATACACCCCCATTGGTGAACACCAATATGTTCTTGAGGGCGTGCCAGCAAAGTGCCAGCCGGCCCAGAAAAGGTGCTAGCCTGAAAGAGCCAGCTTGAACGTGGAAGATTTACAGGGCCGGCTTGAGGAGGCCCGCTTCCAGTCTTCAAACTTGGTGCATGCAGCCCAACTGGTGCTGCTTTACCATGCCTGCCTGCTTTACCATGCCTGCCTGCTTTACCATGCCTGCCTGCTTTACCATGCCTGCCTGCTTTACCATGCCTGCCTGCTTTACCATGCCTGCCTGCTTTACCATGCCTGCCTGCTTTACCATGCCTGCCTGCTTTACCATGCCTGCCTGCTTTACCATGCCTGCCTGCTTTACCATGCCTGCCTGCTTTACCATGCCTGCCTGCTTTACCATGCCTGCCTGCTTTACCATGCCTGCCTGCTTTACCATGCCTGCCTGCTTTACCATGCCTGCCTGCTTTACCATGCCTGCCTGCTTTACCATGCCTGCCTGCTTTACCATGCCTGCCTGCTTTACCATGCCTGCCTGCTTTACCATGCCTGCCTGCTTTACCATGCCTGCCTGCTTTACCATGCCTGCCTGCTTTACCATGCCTGCCTGCTTTACCATGCCTGCCTGCTTTACCATGCCTGCCTGCTTTACCATGCCTGCCTGCTTTACCATGCCTGCCACTCCCATCCCAATCGGACCGTCCCCTTATCCGCCTCGCCGTGTCACCCCTCGTATGCCTACAGCCAGAACACTCTGCATGATCGCATTGTGTGAAGCACCCCAAGTTCAACGCCCAAGATGTTGATGAGACTCCCGTTTCCAGCTGCATGAGCACTCACGGCCCGGGCAAGCCAACCCTAAACGCCCAACCAAAGAGCTCGGCGCAAGAATCCAAGTACTGAGGCTAGCGCAGGAGCCGCGGAGGTCACACCCCAGGATGTTACCCTAGATGACGGTTACTACACGATGGGCACGTTGACTACGTTGACCGCGTCCGAGTCGGCCTGCATGAGCGTCCACGTGGCGTCGGCGTCCTGCTTGGCCTCCAGCGCCGTGTGCCCCGACGCTAGCGTCATGCGGTTGCTCGCCTCCGCGCGCACCTGCCCCGCCGACCGCTGCTGCGTCTCCGCCACCAGCTCGCGCAGCGCGCCCAGCGCCACGTCGTAGCCGCGCATCACGTTCCGGATGGTGTGGTTGAGCACGCGCGCGACCCACACGCGGAAGAGCAGCTCCTCCCAGTCCGCATCGCCCTTCTCGAAGTGGTCGAGGAAGCGAATGTACGCCGCCACCCACGCGTCCTCGTCACAGAACGACCACGTCGGCCACTCCGTCGCCATTATCAACCCCTGCGAGCCCAGCCACGCGGTACAAGGGTAGAACGAATTAGACTTCAACAATAACAAGTTTAACAGGGGGGGAAACCCAAGAATTGGGACGGGGAAGCATGCAAACGGGTGACGAAAACCTACAGATACGCATCAACGTTGAGGGAAAAAGAGGCAATAAAGCGTCAATCCCTTACCTTGGCGAGAGCCGGGTCGAAGTACTGGTGCAGGAGGTCCTTCATGCGCGGCGTGAGCGGCTCCTTGAGCAGCTTGAGCGTCTTCTCCACGTCGTACCCCACCTTGCTCCGCACCGCCTCCGGCACGGGCCGCGCGAACTCCACCCGGTGAGTCACCGGGTTGTCCTCGTCGTTCAGGCCCTCGGATTTCAACGACTGCCAAGGACAACGGAAATACACGCAAGGTAATAAAAAAATATGAGAAAAGCGGCAGTCTCAGGTCGAGATACTAAGAGCTAATCTTACGGGTCGCAAGACCATCGCGCTAAGGCTCTCTTGCACGGAGGACGTACGAACGCAACTGAAAAACGGGGACCTGTTACGGTAGGTTAGAATTAGCTAACTGAAGCACGGTTTAAAGCGCACCTGCACGGCGGAGAAGCACTCGATGAGCATGGTGCGCAGGTCACGCAGGCCGCCGTAGAGCGCGTGCATCTTGCCCTCGGGCACGTACACCTCCGCGAGGCGCAGCCCCGCCTGCGCCGTCACGAACGTGTAGAGCGTGTCGATGCCCCTGTCGCTCTGCGTGCGCACGCGGTGGTCCGCCACCAGCACCTTCGCCGCGCGCCGCGTCAGCAGCAGCTCCCCGCCGAGCGGCTGCTCGATGTGCGGCAGCACCGAGTTCGGCCAGAGCAGCGCGAAGCCAATCTTGGTGACGAGCCACGTGATCATGGCGTCGGTGGACGAGCGCGGGAAGTAGTGCCGCACGATATCGAAGTTAAGGTCCGCTTGCTTCTCGGCTTTGGAAATCCACTCGCCGGAGAAGGAGGTGATATCGGCGTCGTAAAAGTGAAGTCGCTCGAACTCGCGGTTCTCGACGAAGAATTGGAGCGCCGTGTTCATGCCGTCGCCCTTGCCGCCGCGCAGGTTCATGCCTATCCGGCGCTGCAGGCGCAGGATGACGCGCTTCCCCGTGCGCTTCTCGATGCCTGCCGCGGCGGTCTCGATGGCGTGCCATGTCTCGCCCTTGGAAAATCCCACGCCGAGAACGGCGGAGACTGACGGGTGTGACGCTGCGATTTCGACGTTCCGGACGGCGACGGTGACGTCTTCCTCCTTGAACGGGAAGCAGACCAGGGAGGCCATCCTAGAAAGCGTGGCTTGGCTGGCGTTAGCGAAGACTGGTCCTTAATTTCGAAGGCGAAGCTACTGCTGCGCTCACTAGCGGCCTTCTTGGGCTGGTGCTGCGAATGGATACTGGAACTGAAAATGAAATGGAGGTTGAGCTTGAAGGCTTTGGAAGACAAGAGTTCTGACACTACAAGCATGGCTGCCTACATTATATACTCGAACCGCTCGACAAGGGGGCTAACGGGGAGGAGGGGTGGGGGCGCGGGGATGAAGGGGAAAAGGCCAGGGGAAGTGGCGTGGACGAGGGGATGAGGGTGTGGTGGGGGGCGGAGCGACCAGATTGCAGGGGGGGAAGGTTTGCTTCGCGCGCGCGCGTGGAAAAGATTCAACCTTCCAGAAGCTCGGAGGTGATTGGCGGCCGGCAAATGGCGTTCGCCCGCCACCGGGGGGAACCGAGTCTGGTCGACGACGCGACCGTGGAACTGTTAGCTTGAACTTACACGTGGCGGGATTTAAGTCGCACAGGCAGAGCCAGTAAAAAGCTGGTCAAGTTTGATGGAGATGAATGGGCAGCATAACTATGAAACATGTGTGCGAAAACGGTGTAATGCCTAAATTGTTCACCAATAATTTACATTACTGAATCGGATAAAGGAGCTTAATGAGGCAAACTGTGAATCTCCCGGGCAGGAAGTAGACCATCGCATTGATCTTCCAACCAACAACCTTGCCTAACTGTCAATCCGTGACTCGTTGAAATTCCACTTGGGACCGAGGTTCCAGACAGGGGTATCCAAATGCATGCAGTTGATTCGTTGGAATTGACACCTGGAGGCTTCTCAGGGCTCATCATCCACTCACAGAGCTGGCTGACAAGTTCTGCTGATAGCCACAAGATGGATGGAAATCAGCCGTCGGATGGACATGTCAACATTGTTTAGCAATCGAACGCTCCTACAAAACGGTGGCCCGAGGTTTCAGGAGAAACTGGCGAATAGAATGCTTCACACACGAACCTTTCAGACAGAAATGGGACAACAAAAATTTATTTGAGATGTGGGACAACCAAAATACAAAATGTGGTCAGCTCCAACAAAACTGGAATGGGATGTGAGTAAATGTTATCTGAAATAGGTGGCTTCAATTCAAGATTCAATGCCCCCATTTGCAATCAGCTTTACAAGAAGATAATACACAATACAATGTCTAGGGATCCGCAGAATTGACCCTGTTGGCCATAGAAGGTGAAAGTGCTGTGATCATCTCCAACGAATCGCCAGTGCCATGGCTCATACATGATCCCCCTTGTGTTATCAGGTGGAAAGGACAGCTCAAAGTGAAACCTGCACGAAAGGGACTGCATTTTAATGGGTCTGTGTCAACTTGACAATTCAAAGCTGCAAGCAAGCAACACAACTCACCTGTTAGCATTCTTCTGAAGCCAAAAAAACGCGTCAGTGTTTTCAAAATCTGCACACGAGGCAAAAAGAAGGCACGATATCATTCAACTTCAGTTCTAATGTGCAATATCACAAACCGCGCTTCACCTTCAGAGACCACCTTGCACCATCACAGTCCTTCTTGCACCATCACACATCCTCTCAGCTAACAGACTCCAACCGTACCAAACTCAAGATGTGTGGCAGGCGAGTTGGCATCCCCAATGTCGAGAGCATAGCCTGTGTGATGCTCACTGAAGCCTGGTGGGGCTGACACCTGTGAGGGGGCAGCAACAGGTGGAGCACCACCATAGGAGGTTTGGAGCAAGGGGTTAGTTGCAAGGGGTTGAAACTAGGGACTGTGGTGAGCAGTTGCAGACCCCCTGCACCTGAACCAGCCCACCTCACACACGTGTACCCTACCCGACTCACACACACACGTGAACCCACATCCCCTTGTGGCACCTTGGCTCGCTGTCTGATGTTCTGGTTGCGCGCTGCCTTCACTCCGTAGAACACGGACTGCTGGTCCCGCACCGACCGGAACCTGGGAGGGGCAGGATGGGCGAGAAAGGGGACTGACCAGGACGTTGAGAAGCGGGGCGACGGAGGGGGGGTGTGAGGGAGAAGTTGAACGTTGATGGAGGGCGTTGAATGTGAGAAACACGAAAGAGTGGGTGAGATGCGACGAGGGAGGAAGGGAAACGATAAGGAGGGTTGTCGTGCACACAGGCACCAGCCAAGAGGGTTGAGAAGAAGAGAGGTGGAGGGCTCACCCAGAGAGGGGCGTGAGTGGGGAGGACGAGTGGAGCGCTCACCCGGAGAGGGGGCGTGAGTGGGGAGGACGAGTGGAGCGCTCACCCGGAGAGGGGCGTGAGTGGGGAGGACGAGTGGAGCGCTCACCCGGAGAGGGGCGTGAGTGGGGAGGACGAGTGGAGCGCTCACCCGGAGAGGGGCGTGAGTGGGGAGGACGAGTGGAGCGCTCACCCGGAGAGGGGCGTGAGTGGGGAGGACGAGTGGAGCGCTCACCCGGAGAGGGGCGTGAGTGGGGAGGACGAGTGAAGCGCTCACCCGGAGAGGGGCGTGAGTGGGGAGGACGAGTGGAGCGCTCACCCGGAGAGGGTCGTGAGTGGGGAGGACGAGTGGAGCGCTCACCCGGAGAGGGGCGTGAGTGGGGAGGACGAGTGGAGCGCTCACCCGGAGAGGGGCGTGAGTGGGGAGGACGAGTGGAGCGCTCACCCGGAGAGGGGCGTGAGTGGGGAGGACGAGTGGAGCGCTCACCCGGAGAGGGGCGTGAGTGGGGAGGACGAGTGGAGCGCTCACCCGGAGAGGGGCGTGAGTGGGGAGGACGAGTGGAGCGCTCACCCGGAGAGGGCCGTGAGTGGGGAGGACGAGTGGAGCGCTCACCCGGAGAGGGGCGTGAGTGGGGAGGACGAGTGGAGCGCTCACCCGGAGAGGGGCGTGAGTGGGGAGGACGAGTGGAGCGCTCACCCGGAGAGGGGCGTGAGTGGGGAGGACGAGTGGAGCGCTCACCCGGAGAGGGGCGTGAGGAAGATGCCATCCCGCCTGGCAGCGTCCTGCATTGACAGAAACGAGCGCGCTGCTGCTGTGCGCATCTGCACACTGGAGGACGGGGAGGAGAGGGGAGCGCAGACGAAGGAACGACGGAAAACAAGGAGGAAAGTCATTCGATGGTGGAGGGAAGGGGAGAAGACGAGAAGGGGGTGGGATGGGGAGTGGGTGATGGAACATGGACACACGAATGGAAAGTTCTTGCCGCATGCAGCTGTAGACAGCAGTCCTCCTCTCACCTGCCATCGCCCAACCCCCACCTGCCATCGCCCAACCCCCACCTGCCATCGCCCAACCCCCACCTGCCATCGCCCAATCCCCACCTGCCATCGCCCAACCCCCACCTGCCATCGCCCAACCCCCACCTGCCATCGCCCAACCCCCACCTGCCATCGCCCAACCCCCACCTGCCATCGCCCAACCCCCACCTGCCATCGCCCAACCCCCACCTGCCATCGCCCAACCCCCACCTGCCATCGCCCAACCCCCACCTGCCATCGCCCAACCCCCACCTGCCATCGCCCAACCCCCACCTGCCATCGCCCAACCCCCACCTGCCATCGCCCAACCCCCACCTGCCATCGCCCAACCCCCACCTGCCATCGCCCAACCCCCACCTGCCATCGCCCAACCCCCACCTGCCATCGCCCAACCCCCACCTGCCATCGCCCAACCCCCACCTGCCATCGCCCAACCCCCACCTGCCATCGCCCAACCCCCACCTGCCATCGCCCAACCCCCACCTGCCATCGCCCAACCCCCACCTGCCATCGCCCAACCCCCACCTGCCATCGCCCAACCCCCACCTGCCATCGCCCAACCCCCACCTGCCATCGCCCAACCCCCACCTGCCATCGCCCAACCCCCACCTGCCATCGCCCAACCCCCACCTGCCATCGCCCAACCCCCACCTGCCATCGCCCAACCCCCACCTGCCATCGCCCAACCCCCACCTGCCATCGCCCAACCCCCACCTGCCATCGCCCAACCCCCACCTGCCATCGCCCAACCCCCACCTGCCATCGCCCAACCCCCACCTGCCATCGCCCAACCCCCACCTGCCATCGCCCACCGCTCACCTGCCATCGCCCAGCACGGGGCGCAGGTCGCTGTGAGGCGCTTCCTCCACCGCATAGTGACCCAGCACCTGGGGGACAAGGGGGAGGACAGGTGGGATCGGATCGCACAGAGAGAGGGCCAGAGGAAAACACACATCTCTTGAGGCGCCTATTCCATCCAAGGGATAGTGGCCCTTCACGGCACCTGTGGCGAGGTGGATATGAGGAACTGCCTCGCAGGGAGCTAGTCAGGGAGAAGGCTGGGACGGAGAGAGTGAGTGAGAGCAGAGAGGTAGGAAAAGCGAATGCAGTGCAGAAGGGACAGAAGGAAAGGGATGTATGCGTGTGAGGGGTTCGTGAAACGTGTGGGGTGCATGAGAAGCGTGTGGGGTGTGTGTTGGATGCATGGGCATGCGCGTGCATGAGAAGCGTGTGAGGCGTGTGTTGGGTGCATGCGCGGGCAGCGGGCAGACCTGATCCTTGACTGGCAGACTGGCCGGTGCCACCATCGCTGCTTGGGGGAAATAGGAAGGGGGAGCGACAGTGGGGGGAGAGGCAGGGGAGGAGAGGCAGGGGAGGGAGAGAGGTTTGGAATCGGGAAAAGGGGGGGCCAAAGTGGAAGGTGCAAAAAAAGAGATGGGAGGAGGGGACGTGGGAAACAACGGACGGCCAAGGCAGAAACCGAGGGAGCAGATTGCAGAGATGAGGCGCGGATTCAGGGAGGATGCAGGGGGTATCTGATGCTGACGCACGCAGAGGAGTGTTCGTTTGGTCCGAATTGCAATCGGAGGCAACCTGAACTAGTTTGACCGGACCTGTGGCCGAAACAGGCAGGGGATGTTAGGTCGGGCCGAACCTGAGACTGAGGCAGGAGGCGGAGTGGGAAGCGACTTGTGCCGTGCGAAGGCCGCGCCAGCAGCGACGACGCACGCGGCGACGAAGGTGGTCGCAGAGGCGACGGACAGGGGGAACGACGACTCGCTGCCGTTCGGAGTCAGCGATCGCCGCTGGGCTCGTCTGATTGGCTGCGTCGTGTTCGCCCGCGTGGCTCCCTCCGCTCCCGTCCACCCCGCTGACGCCTCCCCCGCCCCCCCTGCCGCGCCGAGCTTGATTCGCGGAAGGCAGTCCCCGCTGGGTGCAAGCACGCGCGCAAGCATCTCCGCCCGCTCTGCCGCCACGTTGTCCCCCGCGCCCTTGTCCTCTATGAAGCGCCGCCGCGCTTGCGTCGCGGGGCTAACGGCGCTGCCAGCGGAAAAATCGGCGGGAATTGGGACCCCATCGTTGATATGAGTCATCTCTCCTCCGTCAGTGAGATATGTGCCTGGCCGGGCACCATCCGTTAGAGTCACACTCCCATTATCCGTAAGATCCGTTGCGCCGATACCTCCTCTGCTCGCACTGGCTGATGCCCGTTGAGTTCGTAGACCCGCTTTTCCGAAATAAGGCTCTCTGGTATAAGTTTGGAAATTGACAAGGTCGCCAGCTTCGTTGTCGCTTCCATGCCGTCCTACTGCGCTCGCACCAGAGTGTGATTCTAACGAAACTCGATAAGGGAACGAGTGATCGCGGCAGCCATTACCCTCCCTGCATACCGACGCGTGCACTGGGAGACGAATACTGGAAACCGGAGCATGAGGGACGAGGGCTACGACACCAGGCTTATCAATACAGGATCTTTTGACTGACGGTAACGGGATGCTGTTTCCTCCCCGATGTCTTTCGCTCCATAATCGCTTCCCAAGAATCGTTCCGGTTAGGCTTTTCACGGCACTGTATGCCAGTTCCATGGGCTCTGGCAGCTACACGAGGCAGGAGCTGAGCAGAAACGAAAACGGCTTCGCAACTCTTTGATCACATTGCCGGATAGCACTCACAAAGGTGAATGGCACGTATCGATTAGGAAGAATTGTAGAAAGGATAGGATGGGATGGGATGGGATGGGATGGGATGGGATGGGATGGGAGGGGAAGCTAGTTTCAATGGAGGAGGTGGAGGAGGTGGAGGAGGTGGAGGAGGTGGAGGAGGTGGGAGAGATGGTGGTGGAGGTGTTTGATCATGAAGTTGGGCTGAGAAAGTGGCGGGAAACCTGGGGTTTGGCAAACCGCAACCGTATACACGATTGTGCTGAGCTGCTTATTTACAATCTGCCAACGATGTGGATGCTCGATCTTGTAGCGTTGCCGAATAAGTGCTTGACGGGAACAAACACACATTACACCCAGAAAAGTACTGTTCGTCAGTGTGGCACAAATGACATCAGCATGAAGACCAGAATGTGTGGCTCGCATGCGTCGGCGTGACGACTCGCTCAAATCGAGCCATGCAAGGAGAGAGGGAAAGCTTCGGTTTGGCTTTCTGGATACAAACCACACCGAGCCAGAACCAGAGCTTGTGGTTTGTAGATCGGTTTCGAGTCATCGCCTCCTTCGGGTATGGGATAATCTAACGGTGTATAATGGATGATTGGAGGCAGCGAACGTACTCGAACGAGCATCGAGCGGTCGAAACCCATGTGTAGGGTTCGGCCTGGCAGCCTTACCTCAAAGCGACCGAACTCTCCCCCCCGCCCTCCTCTCTCGAGTGCTCCGCGTCACACATATTCCCCTCCCCCCATCCATTGCCAGATTCTGTCTCCTGAAAAGCTGGATCGTGAATGGCTGAATTCCGCATGCCTCCCCTGATCGAACTGGACCAAGCTGCGTGAAGGAATTTCGTTTCGGCAACGTCAAGGTCGCCTCGCCTCGGCTCTTGCTCCTCTCAATTCCCAGAGCACTTCCGTGCGGCTATAAACCTCGTCTGCACTTCCGAAGATCTGTCTCTGCAGTCAGACGGAGGAAAGCCGCGGTGGCCTCTGAGATACGTTCATCGCACAGATTCGCCTGCGTTTTTCTGCCCAGCCAGCCATGGCTGGATTCGAGGACTTCTGCGCGTCGCTCGGGCTCTCCGTGGGTATCGGAAAGTTCCTTGTGTGCTACCTGATCAGCATCCCCTGCTGCTTCCTCCAGCGCCTCCTCCCAGCCGGCACCGTCCGCCATATCTGGGCCACGCTCTCCGGTCTCGTGCTCACGTACATTGCGTTCGGATATGAATCCCTGGGGCATTGCGTGGTGGCGTGCGTGGTGGCGTACGGATCCATGCTCGTGTACCGGAAGAAATGCGGAGTGATCACCTTCTTTACCACCTTCATCTACCTCATCGGCTGGTCAGTCCAACTCCCAGCGCCTACGCTCAGTCATATGAGGAGCTAGTTACCACGATTAACTCGTCGTTCTAGGATCTGTCCATCATCAGAATCTGATGTCGACATTTGCCTTTTCGCTGTGTTTTTTTAATTGTTTGTTTGCAGCCACGTGTTTTACATGAGCGGCGATTCGTGGCGGCAAGGAAACATCGACTTTACTGGTGAGCTTCGCACACTTACCGCATTAATTGCTGCATTAGTCATCGAGCGATCGCTGCATTTCCAATCATACGGTCGCTGGAGCGAACTAGATGGAAATTCGTTCGGGCAATCTGAGACGCAGAGGAGAGTAATCGAAACACCCAACAACCCTTAGCCTGTACCAACACGCCACAGGGAGACATCCTTCGCCTGTCCGTCCCCTGTTCTTCTAGAGTCCAATCAAATGCCGTTTAGGGATACATTCCCGCCAACTCCTCTTTCGCCAGCTCATCTCCTGTCCAAATCCCTGCCGGCATTCCCTGCATTGCCGTGCGAGCAGGCGCCATGATGATCCTCGTGCTCAAGGTCACGTCCGTCGCGTACGACTACGAGGACGGCGGCAAGCCGCGCAAGCCGGACGACGCCAAGACGGCGGCGATCAGCGACGCGCCGAAGCCGATCGTGGCGATGCCGAGTCTGCTGCAGTTCCTGGGCTACACCTTCTGCTGCGGGCTGCACTTCGCCGGACCCTTCTACGACTTCTCCGCCTACAACGACTGGATCGACCGCAAGGGGGTCAGTGCCGTTCTCCACCGTGCTCTACCGTGCCGTACCGCGCCCCCGCTCACGCTCGTGCCGTCGTGTTTGCTTCCTCAACAACACTCCCGAAGTTCTCTCAACCCCTCTCCACCGTAGAAAAACCAGCGTTCTAAAATCCGCACCCCCACTTCACCCTCCCCCCCTTTCACCCATGTCCGTTTCCCCTTCCGCCAGATCTGGGCACCAGGCACTCGCACAGCGCCCGCGCTGGTGCCGTTCCTGCGCGCGTTCATTCAGGGCATCGTGGCGGCCGTGATCCAGCTGAAACTCGCGTCCATCCTCGATATAGACATCCTCAAGACACCCAAGGTGTACTTCGCCATGCCGTACTGGCGGCGCTTCCTGTTCATCTACCACGCGTGCGAGGTCACCCGCTGGAAGTACTACTTCATCTGGTCGATTTCCGAATCCGCCATGATTGCCGCTGGGCTGGGCTTCAGCGGGTGGGTGCGCAAGATTGGCAAGGGGGACGAGGGCGGGAAGGAGAACGGGGGAAAGGCGGACGGGGAGGGGAAGGAGAAGCGCGTGGGAGGGAGCTTCACGGAGGTGGCGTCGTGGAAGCGCGCGCAGAACTGCCACATTCTGGGCGTCGAGCTCGCGACCAGCACGGCCACGCTCGCCACCAACTGGAATATCTCCGTCGGCCTCTGGCTGCGCACCTGTGAGTCATCCAACCTTGTACCCCGTGCTGCTCTCTGTGCTACTGTCCGAGCAATTTTACACCCCTTGCCCGTTGCCAGGGCGTCATCTATTTGTCTCTTCCCTCTTCCTCGCCCATTGCCTGTCTTGGCCCAATCCCCCTCTTCCCCTCTCCCTCCTTCCTCTTCCCCTTTTCCCCCCACTTACCCCCACTTCCCCCACTCCCCAACCCTTCCCCCCGCTTCACTTTTTCCCTACTGGCCTGCGTGCGCAGATGTGTACGAGCGGCTGGTGCCGGCTGGCGGGAAGCCCGCGTTCGGGCATCTGCTGCTCACGCAGATCGTCAGCGCGCTCTGGCATGTGAGTTGAGGGTTTCGGGTTTTAGGTTCTGAGAAGTGAGGGGGTTGAGGTTTAGGCTCTGACAAGTGAGTTGAGGGCTTTGGGGCTAAGATTTCGCATGTGAGTGAAAGGTGAAGAGGAATGGATTGAATACAAGTAACGAGAGTTTGTCACAAGCAATAAACAGGCGCTATGTTGTCACTAGGAATTGAAACATGGAAACAGCAATGGGAGGACCAAGAAAAGGCAGCCCTTGATGGCATGACACGCAGATTCCGTGTGAAAGGCCATGGAATTATACATTTTGAGGCGCCTCAAGAAGCCTGCTTTGAGTCGACTCAACACACGTCTCAGGCCGGGGGGCAACATTCTAGTCCCTGTGAAATCTCGAGAGTTTGAGTTGGAGCCACCATCAGTTCCATCATCTTGCTGTAGTGATCCAGTATACCTTGCTGCCCAGCTGGTGGTAAACCCCAAACCTTGGCTCCTCATCCCCCCACCGTGTCCTTCCCCACCAGGGTCTGTACCCTGGCTACTTGCTCTTCTTCGTTGGCGTGGCTCTTGAGATCGCCGGCTCACGAGGTACGTTGGTGGTGCACCACAACATCATCTCCCCCCTCCCTCAACCAGTACTCCGTTTGGTCTTCTTATCTCTGCCTTTCCCCTACCATATCCCTCATGCCCTAACTGATACCCGATCTTGCTTCTCATCCCACTGAACCATCAATTATCCTTTTCATATCAGTCATCTTCTTTTTCACTCTTCCGCCCTACTCCCTTGTTCCCCCTTTCCCCTCGTCCCTCCTCCTCTTGCCCCCCCACAGTGATCTACAAGTACGAGCGTGCCATCCCCCCTCAAGCAACCTTCCTGAAGGGGTTGGCCACGGTGCTGCACGCCATCTACGCGTGCTTCTGCAACAACTATGTCGCCATTGGCTTCATTGTGAGTCTCCCTCGGGCTCATTGTGAGTCGTGCTTCAGTTGCTGGCTGGAATGGGATGATAGCGATTGTGAGTCGCTGTCGTTCATAGCGGGTCGTGGTTTCAAGTGCTACGCGTGGCATTTGTGGCATGTAAGTGCCTCTTCCTCCTCCCATCTCTGCCCCCAGGTACTGACAGCACAGGAGACCACCACAGGGTACAAGGGTCTGCTCTATCTGGGCCACATTGTCATCCTCACAACCCCCTTTCCCACTCCCCCTTTCCCCACTCCCAGGTGCTGACAGCGCAGGAAACCATCACAGCATACAAGGGGCTGCTCTATCTGGGCAACATTGTGCCGCTTGCCATCGTCGTCCTCGGCAACTTCCTCCCCTCGCCGCGACCCTCTCGCCGCGCCAAGACCGAGTAGACAGACATACTTTTGGAGCTGCCAGAAAGGAAACATCTAATGTGAAAGGAAAGCACCCATGTCATGGAAAGGAAACATGGATATACCGTATTTGACAAGTGTTTCTTGGGGTGAAGTTATTTGCTGCAAAGAGCAGCTTAGTTGTCAATGCAGGAGCTAGGCATTTGTGTGGCTCTCCCTCCCTAATGGAGGCCTGTATGTTAGCAAGTAACTGGTAAAAGGATGTTAGGTAATAAATACTTTTTGAAATATGAGATTCACTACAGTTTTGTGCACAAACTGTAGCTAAATCCCGGAATGTACACTTGTACGGTAGGCTTCTTATCGCAACTTCTCTTTATCCTAGACCTCGTCTGACCTCGCACCGAGCCTTCTGTTTCCCTCCAAACATTTCGAATGTTCGCTCTGACGGAACTTGTCAGAGCCTTTCCCAGCCAATCCCCACCTGTCCCTGATTATCCGAACCTCACCGCATCGAGCCTCTGCTCGCTCTCATTGGTTTTGTGAGTGTGGGGGACCATCCTTGGCTTTGGATGGAAGTTGGCAAAATTCAGCCGCCATGGCGGTGGGTGGGAGTCCCCTTGGTTTCTTCTTTCAGTGTGGAGTCTCGGGGTTTGTTGAGAGCGGGATAGCTCACTCAGTTTCTCCTCGGCGGAATCAACCAAAGGTTCTCCTTGCCTCCAGTTGTCGCTTCCTTTGCTCCACTAGCACTATCGTTCAGGCCTGCCGTTTTCTTATCTCCGATCTGGCTCCCTGTCCAGCAATGTCAGCTGCTGGTCGCACTAGACCCTAGTTCACTCGCATGCCTGCACTAACTTGAAATCAAGTAATGTTATATTTGCCGCGACTTCGTCTGCAATCAATAATTATATGAATGACAGTTTAGCCGAATGTAGTGAGGACGTTGTCAAGTCGTGGCGGATTGGGAAAGTTAGGAAGGTCTCGTAGGTCAGTTACGATCTGATGCTAGTCTAGACGGCGTTCCAGTTAAGAAGTATAGCAGGACGGCGCTCCAGTTGATACTGATAGCAAGTAGTCAAGCGAGGTCACCTCGCCAAGGCAACGCCGCCGCTGCTTCCAGCGTCGTAGCAACACTGCTGTGTTCGCTGTGTTTCATCATCAACGCGACGTACCTGCTGTTTCCGCCAATAAAGCAAAGCTGTCGCTGCTGTACCCGCCGAAAAAACAACGTCTTAGCTGCTTTAGGCACGAAGCTTACCAGCTACGGCGCTGCTGTTTTCGTCGTGCAACGTTGCTGGTATTTCCGCGGTTAAAGGGACGTCCCTGCGGCTTCCGCTGTAAAGGCAACGATTACTGTCGTTTCCGCCGTCACAGCGGCGTTGCTGCTGTTTCCGTCGCCGAAGCTGACTCGCTGCTATTTCCGCCGTCAAAGCGACGTTGCTGCGGCTTACGCTGTAAACGCAACGCTTCTGCCGTTTCCGCCGTCAGAGCGGCGTCGCTGATGTTTCCGTCGTCAATGCTCGGTCGCTGCTACCTCCGCGATAGATCGACGTCGCTGCTGCTTCCGCCATCAAAACAACGTTACAGCCGATTCCGCCGTCAAAGCGACGGAGCTGCTGTTTCCGCCGTCAAAGCGACGGAGCTGCTGTTTCCGCCGTCAAAGCGACGGAGCTGCTGTTTCCGCCGTCAAAGCGACGGAGCTGCTGTTTCCGCCGTCAAAGCGACGCAAATGCTTTTTCGGCTGTCGAAGCAACGGACGGAGCGTGGTACGTGCCAGGGGGTGCTTGCAGGGGGGCAATGAAGTGAGTCGTAGAGCGTCGCCGCGCAGAGGCAAGAGTCGTGTCTGTTGTCCTTTCCTCCACCTCTCGCCTCCTGCTGCTTCTAACCCTTCCTTTGCGCTGCTTCTGTGTGGCTTCATCTCTCCCCATGCGTGTGTGTGTCTCACGGCCTGCGAGACGGATGGGAATGGCAGGCAGTGGACGGGTAATGGAAGGGGCTGCCGTTGCTGGCTAGCACGAGAGACAATCTGCAGCAGCACGACGCAGCTGCTGCTTCTGCCATCAAAACATCACCGCTGCGGCAATAACAACGTTCCTGCCGTTCCCGCAATCTAAGCGACGGACCTGCAGTTTCCGCCGTCGCATGACGATTGCAGACGGGCCTTGACCTTGTAAGTGCGAAAAAAATGAGCTTTTATAGGGGGTCGAGCAGATTTGATGGGGGTAAGCGCCGTCCGCCAGAGTCTCAGCCTGATTTTTCTTGCCTTCGTCGCCTCCCCGTTCCTACCGTAACGGACCGCCAATTTCTTCTGGTCTCTGTTTGTATCATGGCATGCACGCGTGTGAATGGCACGTTGTGTTTCAGGAGTGCCTCCACGGCAGAGACGCGGTGGCGATCGGGACGAGAGCAACGACTGCAGCCGCAGCAGCAACCGAGCGGCCTGGAGCAGAAAGCCTCAAGTGAAGGCACGGCGAGCGGCGAATGGAGCGTGGTAAGTGCCAGGGGTTGCTTGCAGGGGGGCCGTGAAGTGAGTCGTAGGCGTCGCCGCGCAGAGGCAAGAGTCGTGTATGTTGCTTGCTGCTCCACCACTCGCTTCCTGCTACTTCTAACCCTCCCTTAAGTCGCTGCTTCTGTTTGGCTGTTCCTCTCTCCCCATGCGTGTGTGTGCCTCCCGGCCTCCGAGGTGGAGGGGAATGGCACAGCGTAGACGCGGAATGGCGCGGAGTGGACGCGGAATGGCGCGGAGTGGACATGAATGGCGCGGAGTGGCCGCGGAATGGTGCGGAGTTGACGCGGAATGCTGCTTGGGGCGAGGCGTGGCGCAGCAGCAAGCGAGGAAGCTGGAGCAATGAGAGTGAGAGGCAACGACGCTGTGGTGGTGTCGGCGGGAGCAAACGACCGACCAGCCAAGTGTGACGCTTCAAGTGAAAGCGTGGTGCAGGAGCGGCAGAGCGGCGAACGGATCATGGTACGTGCCAGGGGATGCTTGCAGGGGGGAAGTATAGTGAGTCCTAGAGCGTCGCCGCGCAGAGGCAAGAGTCATCTCACCTCCACCACTCGCCTCCACTCGCGCTGTTCCTAACCCTTGCTTTGCGCTCCTTCTGTGTGCGTTTTCACTCTCCCCGTGCTTGTGTGTGCCTCCGAGGTGAATGGCACGGAGTGGCTAGGGACACCCGTTGCTTCCGTTGCTGGCTCGCGTGAGAGACAACCGCTCAGTGAGGAGAAGGGGCAGCAACGGCTCATTGGCAAGTCAGGCAGACACACGGTGGCGGTAAAGACGAGAGCAACGCCTGCAGCAGCAGCAGCAGCAGCAACCGAGCAACCAGGAGCAGCACGCCTCAAGTGAAAGCTTGGCACAGGAGTCGGCGAGCGGGGGATGGAGTGTGGTACGTGCCAGGGCGTGCTTGTAGGGGGGGAGGGAAGGGAGTCGTAGAGCGTCGCCGCGCAGAGGCAAGAGTCGTGTCTCCTCGTTTTGCCTCCACCACCCGCCTCTAGCTGCTTCTAACCCTCCCTTCTTGCATTGCTTCTGTGTGCGTGTCCCTCTCCCCGTGCGTGCGTGTGTGTGCCTCACGGTTGCAAGACGGACGGGAATGGCACGGAGTGGAGGAGGAATCGACCCGGCGGCCGTTGCTGGCTCGCACGAGAGACAGCAAGGAGCAGCACGCCTCAAGTGGAGGCGTGGCGCAGCAGCGGCAGAGTGGCGGACGGAGCGTGGTACGTGCCAGGGGGTGCTTGCAGGGGGGCAGTGAAGTGAGTCGTAGGGCGTCGCCGCGCAGAGGCAAGAGTCGTGTCGTTCGCCCTTGCCTCCATTTGCCACTCCCATTCTGCAACTAATCAGCCATTTCTTTGTGTCTGTGTTTCGGTGATGGCAGGCACGCGTGTGTCTGTGAGTGTCTGCATGGCCTCCAGGCCTGCATGCGTGAGTGGCCGTGTGATGTGGTGTATCAGTGTGCACCGTCAGTGCGTTGCGTTTCAGGACCGCCAGACGCAGCGACGCTGTGGTGGTCGCGATGAGAGCAACGGTTGCAGCAGCACAGCAGCAGACGACAAGGAACCGAGCGCGGGCAGGCCAGAGCGCTGCATGGGGCGAAGGCGTGGCACAGCAGCAACCGAGAAGCCTGGAGCTTCAGGGCGGTTGACAGAGTGTGGTACGTGCCAGGGGGTGCTTGCAGGGGGGGCGTGTAGTGAGTCATAGAGCGTCGCCGCGCAGAGGCAAGAGTCGTGTCTCTTGCAGTTGCCTCCACCCCTCGCATCTTTCTGCTTCTAACCCTCCCTTATTGCGTTGTTTCTTTCTTGCTGCCTGTCTCCCCGTGTGTGTGCCTCACGGCCTACGAGACGGAGGGCAATGGCAGTGAGTGGACAGGGAATGCACGGGCGTCCGTTGCTCGCTCGCACGGAAGACAGCCTGAAGCGTGGCCTAGGAGCGGCAGAGCGGCGAACGGGTCATGGTACGTGTGCCAAGGGATGCTTCCAGGGTGGGAGTGCAGTGAGTCATAGAACGTCGCCGCGCAGAGGCAAGAGTCGTGTTTTCTTGTCCTTGCATCCACCACTTGCTTGTTGCTGTTTCCAACCCTCCCTTGTTGTTGCATCGTTTCTTTGTGTGTGCATCACGGTCTGCGAGGCGGTCGGGAATGGCACAGAGTGGACAGCGGGTGACCATCTTGCGGGCTTCGTTCCGGCCCACCACGAGCATCCCGGAGCAGCACTCTTGGAGCCTGGAGCATGGGCCACAGCAGGGTGCTGCATGGGCTGAAGGAGCTGCAGATTTTGCCAAGTAGGGGAAAACATTCAGCTGGAACGTGGTACGTGCCAAGGAGTGCTTGCAGGGGGGCCGTGGTTTGAGTCGTAGGGTGTCGCCGCGCAGAGGCAAGAGTCGTGTCTCTTGCCGTTGCTTCCGCCACTCGCCTCCTGCTGCTTCTGACCATCACTTGTTGCACCGCCTCTGTGTGTGTGCGTGTCCCTCTCCCCGTGCGTGTGTGTGCCTCATGGGCTGCGAGGCGGACGGGAATGCCAGCGAGACGGGGAATCGACACGGCTGC